TGTGTCAACCTTACCCGGTGTTTGACAGCTGCCGTTGGGACCGCCTGTTTGGACAAGATGGTGGTCAAGATGAACGTCGGTGGGGTTTATACCCTCCTTGCGGGTATGTGCATCACCTCCTGTGGGTTAGTGTATGTTTTGATTCACAAGGGGCTAAAATGGGATGCCCAGCGCGAGCTACACGAGTAAACTTGATCCAATTGCTCTCAAAGAAATATTGGTATTACATTTTAGGTCTCAGGCCTTTCCTTATTTACGTCATCTGCATGGCACTTGCGACTTTGCTGTCCATAGTACCTAATTTATTTCATTCCCCGGTATCTTTCTCTGGGCGCTTATTTCAGACAAGCCCTTGATTATTGCGTTGCATTTTTATCCGCGATTTTTACTGATTCCTATATGGCAGGCTTAGAAATGCCAACTATGGTTTTAGTCGGTATATGCATAAAACCGACGGAGATTTTGTCAAGTCGTAAATAAGTCATTAATATATACCATCTCGTGTTATTTTAATTTTTTTGTTATCCAAATCGTTTACTGGCCAGGAAAGTTTCTCAGTTTTGTAAAATCCGGAATACAACTGGAAATCAGACTTTCGCGTAAGACGAAAAGGGAAAAGTTCACGCGTCAGTGCTAAAAGCTGCATCTCGCCACTCATTGACGGCAACCGATAAACACACCTTTATACATTACAATGGTGTAGGTATACCTATTCGCGTTTTTCATTTTCATCACTAACCGCCACAGCAAGAAAGAAACCGTTCAGTTCGCGCGCAACACCTCTCACAACTTCAAGTTCGGCGCCCATGTCGCTGCTGCCGGTGGTATTTCAAATGCCATCCTCAACGCCCTGAGAATCGGCGCCAACAGTTTTGCCTTCTTTTTAAAGTCCCCGCGGAAATGGGACGCTCCACAATATCCAGACGCGGAAGTGGCAAAGTTCAAGGCGCTCTGTGCAGAACATAAATACGATCCGATGACAGACATCTTGCCCCACGGTCAGTACATGATCAACCTCGGCAATCCGGAGCCGGAAAAGGAAGCCAAGTCGTATGAGTCTTTTGTGGACGAATTGAAGCGCTGCGAACAGTTGGGAGTGGGGATGTACAACTTCCACCCTGGCTCGTCTGTGGGCTCGGACCACAAGGAGTCGCTCGTTCGTTTGGCAAAGAACATCAACAATGCGATTGCCGAAACCTCTTTCGTGAAACTTGTCATCGAAAACATGGCTGGACAGGGAAGCATCATCGGTGCCACCTTGGAGGATATCCGGGACGTGATCGAAATGGTTGACAACAAAGAGCGCGTGGGTGTGTGTATCGACACATGTCACTCGTACGCTGCTGGGTTCGATATCACCACTGAGGAGAAGCTCGCTGAGTTTTTGCAATCATTTGACGATTTGATTGGAGCTAAATACCTCTGTGCCATCCACTTGAACGACTCCAAGGCGCCATGCGGTGGGAACAGAGACTTACACCAGAGCTTGGGTCAGGGCTTCATAGGTCTTGAGCTTTTCCGCTTGATTGCCAATTCGAAGCGTCTCGAGGGGATTCCAATCGTGTTAGAAACGCCGATGGACAAGGATGATTCTGTTTGGGGTGAGGAGATCAAGCTTCTCGAGTCGTTAATCGGGAAGCAAAAGGATGACGCTGAGTTTGTGGAGAGAACCGCGCACTTTTCCAAGTTGGGGCAAAAGGAACGGGAGGAGCACATGAAGAAGTTTAGCAAAAAGCAGGAAGTTAAGGCCAAGAGGGGGGCCAAGACCGATATCATAAGCCAATTAACCAAGAAGAGGAAGTAATCGAGTACTAATTTGCGACATCTACCTGTAGGAACCGGGTTTGGAACTGTATGTGATATTTGGACACCCTTGCAGCTTGGAAGCAGTTACCTTGTACGACCGCCAGCCAATATGAATAATGGAGAGACTATACCGCTCAAAAGAGAATAGGGCCATAGGATACCCTACCCTTTAATTGGTGTTCCAAATACCTTACACAAAACAAAACTTTAGATTCTTAATTTAGCTGTAAACTGCTTATATGATTTATAACACCCCCTCGGAGATGAACTTCACATCATGCTGCTCTGGCACGAGTCCTTCAACCTTCCCGGTCCGCAAGAACGCCTCAAGGTTGTCAATCACACACTCCTCCATGGCCTGGATGGTTTCATAAGTGTGGCTGCCCATGTGCGGCACCGTGGTGACGTTTTCCAAGCGCAAAACCTCCTCGTTAGCCATTGGCTCGTTTTCATAAACGTCCAACCCAGCGGCAGCAATCTTTCCGCTCTTGACCGCATCAACGAACGCCTCTTCATCAATAATCCCGCCTCTAGCGGTGTTCACCAACACAACACCGTCCTTCATCTGGGAAATTGTCTCCCTATTGATGAGGTGTCTGGTGTGGGGATTCAATGGGATACTTATGGAGATGATATCGGACTGTGAGAGTAATTTTTCGAAAGACACATACTCAGCTCCACCTTCAAGCTCTGGCGATAACCTGGCACGATTGTAATACACAATCTTGCCAAAACCAAAGCCTCTTGCCCTGTCTCTGATCTCACTTCCAATACCTCCCATACCCAAAATGCCAAAGGTTTTCCCCGCCGGATCGTGCCCCAAGGGCGCACCCGCACATTTAGATGTCGGCCACTTGCCCTCAAGCAAGCCCTGGTGGCCCTGTTGGAAGCGTCTCAAAGCGGAAAGCACAAGGAACATCGCGGTATCGGCAGTGGAGGCATCTACGGCGCTGGGAATGTTGGAAAGCTGGATGTTGCGCTTGGTTAAGGCGGCGGTGTCGATATCGTCGTACCCCGCACCGCAGTTGGCAATAGCCCCACAACTTGGGGGAAAGTGAGCCATAAGCTCCTCGTCAAAGCGCCCAGTCTGGGGTAAGGTATGCAAAGAGCGACTGACGCCGATAATGTCCTGGTATTTTGTGCGCAAATCGTGGATGAAATCCTCTCGGTTGGTAGCATCCATGTCGACAATTTCAGCCACGCGGGCAAAACGTTCCCACGCCTGGTGAGCAAATTCAACCCTGCCCAAACGGAGAATCTTTGGTTTGACGGACATAAAAGGGTATACAATCTAGATAGAAAAGAGTGTGGGGGGTGAGGGGAATGAAACGTTTAAATTGTGATGTGTGAAAAGTTCGGGAGATGTTCTCCGCAACTCCGGGTTCGCGGATCTGACACGTCATTCCAGATACGGCAAGTCATGGAGACATGCTTTCTTTGACGAGCCTAGTTGATGTTTGCAGCTAAAGTTTTTTTTTAAGCGTGAAACCTTACAGCTATAACACTGCAGTTAAGAATGCTTGGTCAGACTGGGTGGTTTAAAATTAAAGTCTAGGGCAGGATAGATGTAAGTTTATCTCCTTTAGCGAAGAATCCTGTTTTACGTAAGCCGAGAAGTTTCTGTGGTGGGTCTCCCAGTTAGTCCAATAGCTTGAAATACCTATCTAGGTCTTTACCGTTTTAAGATTCAACATACACGCCAAACTCTTGAGCCGGCAGAAAGGATGGATTTACCTATTTTCACTAATCTGATATTTTCAACCTCTATTCCCTTGCGGCTTTAGCTCAGTTGGGAGAGCGTTAGACTGAAGATCTAAAGGTCCTGTGTTCGATCCACAGAAATCGCATTATCTCTGGCATCTGTGACTGGGTGCTTCTTTTTATTTAGAGTATAGTTAACTGTACATCTGCTTTTGTACGATGGAATATGATGTGAATCGAATAACAAATATATTTGCGTTACAGTGTGTACTTGCATCGATTGAGAGCAGTAAATCCATGTAAAAGTGGTTGGTTTGCATTCTCCTAGACTACGGAGATCTAGGTAGAAGAACCCATCAGATATCGCTGATTATATTCTCGTAAGGAAATTATTGGGTATTTTATCCAATTAGGATACCTAGATAAGGCTCAGACGCAATATGCTTTAGCAGGTAAAAGACGCTACCCTTGCTATCCCAGCCTTATGGTGCGCAGATTCGTATGACACGCAGGTAGTGCCCCTTTTAGTGTTCCCCCTCTAATGACAGCCCAAACTGTAACCGTTATGGCGTACAACCACCCTTCATATAAATGTTAGTAAGGGGTATGCGACCAAATCCAGTCAAACTCACGTATGTGAATATCGTCAAACTATAATGCCCATACCTGTGGAGAAGTTGAGTGCATGCTTAGCAGATTATCACGCACGCCTCCCGCTATACGTTATCTGTATTTACTTGACATGTATGAAAACGGAAATTTTCTCTTAAATTCTCCTTCGATATTTCCGCAACCTTTTTGTATTTTACCTTTGAGCTCTAGGCGCTATAGCTTACGTGTGTGTCAGACTCAGGTGCATAGACCCCCACGTTTAGGTGCGTCATGGGCATTCCAGATCCGGCACCGAGGCACTTGGCCATGCGCTTACACTAACGCCAACGCACTGGCGTTTGACTACACATGTTTTCGATTTGCTCCACTGATCCTCTCTTTCTACTGTCAGATCTCCTTTACCACCTGATCCCTTGGATTGACTATCTATACCCGGTCCTAGTCTCTAGCTCCGCATTCATCATTTTTTAACGCCTCTGGCTCTCATTTTGTTATTTGTCCAGTAGCTAACTAACAGCTAAAATTGCTGCCTAGTTCAGACCGTGAACCCTTTTGCCCGTCGTTGCTACCTGAAGCTCCCGAACTCTTGGACATTTCTGTCATTTCCTAAGCTCTACCCTTTCTCTATCAATCCTCATTTACTTCTCCGTACCTCTGTCCACTGATCCTGGCTCAGTATCATTCATACTCACCAACAACCCCGTTATCGATTCCATTTCCCTGAGATTCTCACCTCCTTTTCGAACGCCGTTTACCCCCAAATCACATGTCGGATGCAAAACCCTTAGCCACGCCAGCTGCTGCTAGCGTCACTGCTGCTGCTGCTGCTGGGGCCGCCACACCGTTACTAACGCCTCGACGTTCCGCTGAACGCTCTCGACAGTACCTCAACTCGCGTAATATCACCACCCTTCGCCCCCAGATCAGCCGCACCAACACCGAACCAATTACCTCGAGCCCGCTCAGTATCGTCAAGCGCCAGGATACTCTTCGCAGCCCCACCCCACCCAGAGGCCGCACTTCCACCAACAAGCCCAGCGCTGAGGCTCCCCGTCGCGGACTGGTATCCTCGGACCACCTGGCTGCAACCACCGTTCTCGATACATACACCCCACAGCGCACCAGCAAGCTCGACTTCTGGACCCTTCTCCCCTACTACGTTCCATGTGCCCTGTGGATCCCTAGCTACACCCTCACAGCCTTTGTCGGCGACTTCTTTGCCGGCTTATCGCTCGCCAGTTTTCAGATTCCGTTGTCCATGTCGTATGCCCACGCATTGGCGCATGTTCCCACGGTATCTGGTCTCTTTGGACTTGCCATCTGTCCGATTATCTACGCCGTCTTCGGTTCTGTTCCCCAGATGATCGTAGGCCCTGAGTCTGCCATATCGTTGATTGTGGGGCAGTCAGTTGAGCCGATGTTGCTCCACAACCCAAACATCAACCCACTTGATATTGCAGTGGTGATCTCCTCCATTAGTGGGGCCATTCTCTTAGGATTTGGTATCGGCCGCTTTGGCTTCCTTGACAACATTCTCTCGTCCGCCTTGCTTAGGGGATTCATCCTGGGGGTCGGTGTGGCCATGATTGTGAACTCGCTCGTGTCGGAGCTCGGCCTCAACAAGTTCTTGACGGCCGACCCAGCTAAACACTACCACTCGCCGTTCGACAAGTTGGTCTTCTTGCTTGAAAACCGAGGAAACGTGCACGTGCTCACAGCGGCGATATCCCTAGTCGCTTTCCTCTTGCTTGTCTACTTCAAGATTGTTAAGAAGCAGTTGATTGGCGCGGGTTTCAAAAAGGCCATCTTTTTCCCTGAAATCCTCTCGGTTGTGCTTTTGTCCGTTGGCTTATCAACCTACTTTGATTGGGAAAAGTCTCACGTGGCTATAGTGGGCAAGATCCAGCAGCTGAGCTTCGAAATGCGCATGCCGTTCACGGGTGAACGGATGGCCTTGACCAGAGAGTTGTTCAGCGTGTCTTTTACCGTTGCTATGCTTGGTTTCTTTGAGTCAACCACCGCCTCAAAGTCTCTTGGATCCACCTACAACTTGCCCATTTCTTCCAACCGTGAGTTGGTGGCCCTTGGAGCCATCAATATATTTGGGTCAGCCTTCGCCGGGCTTCCGTGTTTTGGTGGCTATGGCCGCTCGAAGATCAACGCCATGTCGGGGGCTACCACCGTTGTTTCCGGCCTTGTGATGGGCTGTGTCACGCTTTTCACCATTAGCTACCTCCTTCCTTACATTGAGAACTTGCCTACCTGCATCCTCTCTGTGATCACCACCATTGTGGGGTTTTCGCTCTTGGAAGAGGCTCCCCACGACATTGCGTTCCACTGGCTGGCGCGCGGGTGGGGAGAGCTTGTCACATTTGCGATTACAGTCTCTGCCACCATTTTCTACTCCGTGGAGGCCGGTATTGCCCTCGGTTTGGGGTATTCCTTAATTAGAGTCATCAAGCATTCCACCAAGTCGAGAATTCAGATCTTGGTTAGAATCCCAGATAGCGACACATTTGTGAACGCGGACGAACCGTTGGCGGACGAGATGGACACCGTGCTTGTGGATGCGGTTATGGAAGAAATCGCCGGTTGCTTGATCATCAAGGTCCCTGAACCCTTGACATTCACCAATGCCAACGATTTAAAGACAAGACTTGGCCGTGTGGACTTGTATGGGAGCACCAGGATCCACCCAGCTGCTCCTCGCACTAGAAGCGAAGAAATGACACGCTACGTGGTGTTCGACTTACACGGAATGACCAATTTGGACTCTTCAGCCGCACAGATCCTAAAGGAAATCATTGCTGCGTACCGCAAGAGGGGAATTCATGTGTTTTTCACCAGAGTTCCGGCTACCCAGCACGTACGGATCCGGCTCAGAGACTCTGGGATCATGGCAATGACCGAAAGACATTACGTCGAGACCGATACAGGCATTACGTGTTTGCACTACTTTAATGAGTTGAACGATGCGTTGATGGTTGTGGATCAGATGGAAGGAATGGATAACTTTTCAGAGTACTAATGGGGTGTTGTGTAGCTCCGAAGTGCAAGCATGATCTGGATATTTGCCAAGGCTTTGTGATATTTCAGGGTGTCAGCTGGTCTCTATTTATATGTATTTTTATAATCTTTGATATTTTATAAGAAAGTAAATTTCACGTCTCTCAATCAGCTGAATTATCTGATAGCGTTATTTATAAGCGTATATATACTAGGGATAGCGCGAATGTGCTTACATTCGTAACCACCAAGAAGCACCGGATAGGCTACTTATAGTGCCACTTCAACGAGGAACTGGGATCTCTGATTACTCTTCTGCGATTTTACCGAAATTTAAGCTGCGATGGAGGTTGCAATGCGTATTACATAGCCCTAGATGGCTTTTCAGCCGTTTTTCAGCCGTTTCTTTAGACTGTTCCAACCTCCGAGCCGCAGCACGCGTGCTAGATTATTATTTTTTACGCATACACCATCAACCCTTGCTTATCTCGTCTCCATTACGCATAACCAGTTGACAATCGGGTAACTCGTGTTAAGCATAATCGCAAATATTGGTTCAAAACGATCTATTGCAGCTTTCCGATTCACTTGCCGGGCGAATAAGCATACACCCCCCTTTTGCTATACAGCCTTATATCTTGCTCAAACTCATACCGATGCCTAACACAGATATCGAGTTGGTGAACCTAAAGGACCATCTGATCCACACCACTACCGAACTAGAGTTTGACGAAGAGTATATTGACAACCTTCCAGCCCACTCAGACGGCATCGCTCTTCCTTCTTCGTTTTCCCAATATACTGAACACGTCATCTTCACGATATCGTTCCTTATTCGTTGGTCACTCTTTCTCCTCACGGTGTACTTTCCCAAGTACTACTTTGACAAGTTCCAGTCCATGTACTACCGCCAACCGTATACTACAATCCACTGGATCCTTCTTGTGGTATCAGCGAAGGTCGGACCGAGCAGCCAAGACGGACTCACGGTGACATGCCTCTGTGTGTTTATCACCGGTTCCATGCTCCTTTGGCCGTTGCAGGTCTCATATGTTGCCTTCTGTTTTTGGCTCGTAGTTACAATGGTGGTGGGGCTCGGGAAAGGGGTGATATATGTCTGTAATGTTCTTACCACGAAGCTTGAACGAGTCAGATAGCATTGAACAAAGCGGTAACGTTGTTTATCGTTTAGGAAATGTCACTCGGATATTAAGCCAGCCTCAAAATATCAAAGGCTATGCTGCCCAAGGCATCATGAGATGCCTTGTTAATGGTCAATACGCACATAGCAGAAACAAGGGGTGATGCTAAAATTATGGTCTAATACCGTCGTGTATATTTCGTTTTATACTGAACGAAAGTTTCAATTTCTGATGCCCTTGGTTAATATTTCCTTTGCTATCCTCCGATTGGCTTTCTGCGCATCCTCGTGTTAACGATACAGTCCGGAACTCCTAGCACGTGATATATTAAGACAGCAGCAAAAGAAGCTATTTTCATGGATTTAATGGTCAAAAGAGTGGTTGTCTCTCTGTTTATTAACTCCAGAGTGATAGATTCAGCAACTGACATACTTCCCCGTGACGAGGCAGAGCCCCTAGCTGATTAGGCATTGCTCCTTTTAATGGCGAATAATTGACAATTCAACGTTATGACATTCCTTACGTTGAAAATTTGAAAATTTCTCATGCTCGGCACAAGTATCGGTTGCATTGATTGAAAGGATATAGTTAACAGATAATGAAAAGAGAGAAAAAAATGGTGCAGGAATACTTAATCACTGCTTGGGCTTGATAGTACACGCTATCAGAGCACCTTTAAGCAAAATTAAACTCCCCTATATCTCACATTAACGCGTTTGGTCGTGTGGTAACCACACGCTTTCTTTTCCCGTTCTCTTCGGCGCTCGCGCGTTTTTTTCTGTAAACACGCTAACGACTAATGATTCCTCTTCCACAAACTCACCCATCAACCATGACCTCCACCATGAACGGAACGGCCACCACGCCTTTGCCCTTTCCGGAAAATGCTCTCCAGGTCCAACTTTATTTGTTGCGCTACAGCAACTTGTACGAGTCCGGCACCAGTGCCAGCGAAAAAAAGGCACTTGAGACGGTGTTACACGATGTTTCCGAGGCCCAGGCGGCATATTTGCTCCAAAAAAGCAAGTTAGAGGAAGCCAAGGCCAAACAAGCCACCCCTGAGGTTGACCTCGATTTGCTTCTGAAGCAGCTTCTTGCATTAAACATGTTGTCTGGTGATTTAGACCTTCCAGAGACCTTGCAGCGCGACTTGGGCGGCAGTTACACCGCCCAAGATGGACCTGAGCCAGCTCAGGACGTCGTCTTGCCCATTGCGATTGCAGAGAACTTTGCGGACAGAGCGGAACAAGCCGGTATCACCCACTTGATCAAGAAGGCCGACCCGGTGCACGACGTGGTGGGTAACTTCTACTCTGAACAGAGTGTCTCTGCGAAGATCTCCCAGCGGCTAGCACAGTTAGAACTGATGCCGAGTACCATCGGTGGCTACGATGCTAGTGCAACCGCGTTGCAGGCCCCCGATGCGCTTGTCTCCGGCGTCGACGCTCTCAAGGTCAAGTCCTTGATCGAGCTCAAGTCACTCAGGGTCTTGAGCAAACAAAAACAGTTGCGCCAGGACTTGATCTTCAAGGTCTCTGCACGCGCCCACAACGACATTGACTACCTCAAGAACTCACCGATTACACAGTCGGCGCAGAGATCGCTCCATATCCGCCCAAAGGTTATTACCCCGCAGACCGCCAGGCTTGCCGAACAGTTGGAGGAGCAGCAGCGCCAGGAAAAGCAGGCCTATGAGCACAGTCTTCATATGGCCCGTGTGCACAACATCGTGGTCCAAGCAGACGCGTTTGTAATGGCTAAGTCGACCCGGGAAACCCGCAGATACGCTATGAGCAAGTCTGTGTCGCAAATCCACGCCCAGATCGAGAGGGATGAGCTGCGTCGGATGGAAAAGACCGCTAAACAGCGTTTGCAGGCCTTGAAGGCCAATGACGAGGAGGCGTATATCAAGCTTTTGGACCAGACCAAGGACACCAGAATCACCCACTTGCTCAAGCAAACCAACTCCTTCTTGGACTCCTTGTCCCAGGCCGTGAAGATGCAGCAGGCGGAGGCGATCGTGCATCAGGGTGGCGAGGTGCAAGAAGAGGCAGCAGCTTCGGCCGTAGACGATTCCGCAAACGCCGATTTGCGGGAAAAGATCGACTACTACGAGGTGGCCCACAAGATCAAGGAAGAGGTTACCGAACAGCCAAGGATGTTGGTGGGTGGGACGTTGAAGGAGTACCAGATCAAGGGTTTACAGTGGATGGTGTCGTTGTACAATAACCACTTGAACGGTATTCTTGCCGATGAAATGGGGTTGGGTAAGACTATCCAGTCCATCTCATTGATCACCTACCTTATCGAGAAGAAGCGCGAAACCAACAAGTTTTTGGTGATTGTGCCGTTGTCTACCATCACCAACTGGACCTTGGAGTTCGAAAAGTGGGCCCCAAGCGTCAGAACGATTGTCTACAAGGGTTCGCCGCCACAGCGTAAGCTCATGTCCTACGACATCCGTTCGGGTAACTTCCAGGTGTTGTTGACGACCTACGAGTACATTATCAAGGACAGACCAATGTTGGCCAAGTTCCACTGGGCCCATATGATCATCGACGAGGGTCACCGTATGAAGAACGCCAATTCGAAGTTGTCGCAGACCCTCACCCAGTACTATCACACCAAGCACAGGTTAATCTTGACGGGTACGCCGTTGCAGAATAACCTTCCGGAGCTTTGGGCGTTGTTGAACTTTGTTTTGCCAAAGGTTTTCAACTCCGTCAAGTCCTTTGACGAATGGTTCAACACGCCGTTTGCGAATACCGGTGGCCAGGACAAGATCGAGCTCACCGAAGAGGAAACGTTGTTGGTCATCAGACGTCTCCACAAGGTCTTGAGACCGTTCTTGTTGCGCCGTTTGAAGAAGGAGGTTGAAAAGGATCTCCCAGACAAGGTCGAAAGGGTCCTCAAGTGTAAGCTCTCCGGCTTACAGTCGCAGATGTACCAGCAGATGTTAAAGTACAACGCGTTGTTTGTGGGTGCGGGCGTCCAAGGTGCCACCAAGTCGGGAATCAGGGGATTGAACAACAAGATCATGCAGTTGAGAAAGGTGTGTAACCATCCATACTTGTTTGAAGAGGTGGAGGACATAATCAACCCCAGCCATATGACCAACGACGATATCTGGAGAGTCTCCGGGAAGTTTGAGCTCTTGGACAGAGTGTTGCCTAAATTCAAGGCTTCTGGCCATAGAGTGTTGATTTTCTTCCAGATGACCCATGTCATGGACATTATGGAGGATTTTATGCGTTCTAAAGCCATGACGTACTTGCGTTTGGACGGCTCAACCAAGGCTGATGAGAGAACTGACATGTTGAAGGAGTTTAACGCCCCTGACTCGGAAGTGTTTGCGTTCTTACTTTCCACCAGAGCCGGTGGTTTGGGTCTTAACTTGCAGACTGCCGACACGGTTATCATTTTTGACTCCGATTGGAACCCCCACCAGGATTTGCAGGCCCAGGATCGTGCTCATCGTATCGGTCAGAAGAACGAAGTGAGAATTTTGCGTTTGATTACGGATGATTCGATCGAGGAGGTGATTTTGGCCAGAGCCCACCAGAAGTTGGACATTGACGGTAAGGTCATCCAGGCCGGTAAGTTCGATAACAAATCCACAGCTGAAGAACAGGAGGCGTTTTTGAAACGGTTGCTCGAGTCTGAACAGGCAAAGCAGGGGAACGACGAAGACAACGAGGTCGACGATGACGAACTCAACGAGATTTTAGCCAGAGGCGATGAAGAAAGGGAATTGTTTGCGCAGATTGACAGTGATAGAATAGCTACTGCCATGGTGGAAGCCAGAGAAGCCGGTGTGGCTCTTCCTCTGAGATTGATGGCAGTTGAGGAACTTCCGTCGGTGTTTACCGAAGATATTGGTATCCATATGCAACCAGCTAAAGAGGAGTTGGGGCGTACTAGAGAGAAAAAGAGGGTGTTCTATGACGATGGTTTGACGGAAGAACAGTGGTTGGAGGCTGTGGATAATGACGAAGACTCTATCGAAGATGCTATCGAGCGCAAGAGGGCGAGGGCTGAGAACAGGCAGATCATGCCTGATAGCGAGGAGGATGACGATGTTTTTGCTGATGAGTTACCAGTTGAGTCGGTTGTTACTAAGAGACCTTCGCCGGCAGCTGAAAGCGGCCCGGTTAAAAAGAAGGGTAGAGGCCGCCCGCCAAAGGTCGCTGTGAATCTTCCGCAATGGGCCACCAATGCTTTGGGCTTGCTCGAGGAGATACTCCAGGTCAGGGAGGAGGGTCGTAGTCTCACCGATGTGTTTTTGGATATCCCATCTAAGAAGCAATATCCGGACTACTTTCTGGTCATTGCCCAGCCAGTGTCCATTAACTCGATAAAGAAGACGTTGAAGCAGGGCAAGTATGCCAGTATCGGGGAGTTCGCGGCTCAGTTGAAGCTTATGTTCGCGAACGCCAGAACATACAACGAAGAAGGGTCGTGGGTGTATAACGACACGTTAACCTTGGAGGCGTTTGTTGATGAACGGTTGCCAAGACTTGCGTAATCCTATGTGCTATTATAATTTAATTAATTCGTGTAGAGGTTAGTGTAACCGGGAGATGCTATGTTCTGCTTGTTAGATTCTAGATAGCTATAGCACCAAAGATCCAGTCTAGCCATAGCACCAAGGATCTAGTCTAGCTTTGTTCTCGCTAAAGGGTTCCCCCTAGGTGTCCACGAATGGGGTCAAGTGGGAAACATAAAACTAGAAGGGGTTTGGACAAATTTTTTCTAACTCCCCCCCATGCAGCCTACGCCATTGGAAAACTAATAATTTTAATTACAGATAAATATGGATAAAAAGGAGTGCAGGCAGAACACAAGGACCTAGCATTAGACCTGGAAAACATCGTTAAGGAAATGAGTTTCCTCCTTAAGATGGTTGGACTTGGAACCAGAAGCAACAGAGGCAGATGGATCACGACCGGCGTATCTGAGGGTCTTACCGTTGTGGACGCTTTCGGCCAACGTGGTTTGGACACGAGGAGCGGCGAAGGAGTAGGCACCCATGTTCAATGGTTCTTCCTGGCACCAAACAATGTCGGTAGCGTTCTCGTAGTTGTTGAAGGCGTCTCTCAACTGGGCGTATGGGAAGGGGTGGAGCTGCTCAACCTTAATGATAGCAGTGTCCTTGTTCTCCAAAGCTTGGCGATGCTTGTACAAAGCAGCGTAAACCTGACCGGAACAGAGAACAACTCTCTTGATGTCTTTAGGCTGGCCAATCGACTTACCAATTTCGACATCATCGATGATCCACTGGAAGTGAGACTCACCGGTGAACTCGGAAAGATCGGAACGGGCCAATGGGTGACGCAACAAAGCCTTAGAGAAGAAGAGAACCAACGGCTTTCTGAACTGTCTGTGCATTTGGCGACGCAACAAGTGGAAGAGGTTGGCCGGGGTGGTTGGGTAGGCTATCTGCATGTTACAGTCCTGGTGTTGTCTCTCCAACTTTTCGGCGGAGGGGAAAACACGCTGGTCTTCGGAACACATTTGCAAGTATCTTTCCAAACGGCCGGAGGAGTGTTCTGGACCTTGGCCATCGTAACCGTGTGGCAAGGACAATACAAGACCGGAACGTTGCTTCCACTTGGACTCACCACCAGAGATGAACTGGTCGACAATGACCTGGGCAGTATTGGCAAAGTCACCGAACTGAGCTTCCCACTGGACCAAGGCATCTGGGGAGGTTAAGGAGTAACCGTACTCGAACCCCATGACACCGTACTCGGATAAAGAGGAGTTGGAGATGGCAAAGTCAGCCTGGTTTTCCGACAAGTTCTTCAATGGAGTGTGGGTCTTTTCGGAGTTTTGGTCGTGCAAAACGGCATGGCGCTGGGAGAAGGTACCTCTCTCGACGTCCTGACCGGAAACTCTGACGTGGTAACCTTCCAAAAGCAAGGAACCGAACGCCAAGGCTTCACCGGTAGACCAGTCAATACCCTCACCGGAATCAGTCGACTTCAATCTGCTGTTCAAGATACGCTTCAAGTTACGGTGAACTTCGAAGCCTTCTGGCCAGGAGGCGATGGCGGTACCAATCTTCTTCAAGGTTGGCTCGTCAACAGCAGTTGGCAAGTGTGGAAGGATCTCAGTGGCCAACTCTTTTGGCGACTTGAAGCCTTCCCATGGAGTGGTCAACCATTCTCTAGCGGTTGGCACGTACTCCTTGGACTTGCCGAAGGACTCTTCCAACAACCCCCAGACCCATTGCTTGTGTTCGGCAATGTCTTCAGCGGTGAAGGAACCTTCGTCCAACAACTTCTGGGAGTAAATGTCAATGACGGACTTTTTGTTGGCAATCTTCTGGTACATCAATGGCTGGGTGAAGGATGGCTGGTCGGTTTCATTGTGGCCGTGCTTTCTGTACCCAACAATGTCAATGATGACATCGGAGTTGAATGTAGCTCTGTAGTCGGCAGCGAGGTTCATGATGAAGATAACGGACTCGATATCATCGGCATTAACGTGGAAGATAGGAGCGTTGATGGACTTGGCGATGTCGGATGGGTATGGGGTGGATCTGGCAAAACGAGGGTCGGTGGTGAAACCGATCTGGTTGTTGACAATCACGTGGATGGTACCACCGGTGGAGTAGGCAGGCAAGTTGTGGAAACCCATGGTTTCGTAGACAACACCCTGGCCCGCAAACGCGGCGTCACCATGCAACAAGACAGCAACAGCCTTCTTGAACTCACCGACGTCGTTCTTGTAGTGCTGGATGGCACGGGTACGACCAAGGACAACCGGGTCTTCGGCTTCCAAATGGGATGGGTTGGCCACCAAGGAAAGGTTGACGGTCTTACCCGAGGTGGTTGGACGGGCATAGTTCATACCCAAGTGGTACTTGACATCGCCAGACCCTTCGTCAAAGTCCTTGGACCCGGTGAATTCGGAGAAAATGGATTCGTTTGGCTTACGCACAACGTTGGACAACATGTTCAATCTACCTCTGTGTGGCATACCGATAATGACGTCTTCGGCCCCGTGTTCGACCGCTCTGTCGATCAAGGCCTTCAACCCTGGGACCGTGGCCTCGGCACCCTCCAAACCAAAACGTTTGTCGTTAGGGAACTTGGTGGACAAGAAGGTTTCGAAGGAGGTGGCCCAGATAAGACGGTCGAGAATCTGTCTCTTTTCCTCGGTGGAGTACTTGAATGGTTCAGGGATCTCAACTCTCTCTCTTAACCAGTCGCACTTTTCACGGGATGGAATGTGGACGTACTCGATACCATACGACTTACAGTACAACTTTTCGCAAGCAGCGATAATGTCACGCAAAGCCATGGTCTTGATGCCTTGGTGCGCGAATCTTGGAAGGATACCTGGCCCCAAGGTGATTTGCTTGTCCATGTCGGCTTCGGTGAATCCGTAGTGGTCAAGAGACAATTCCGTTGGAACTGGCTTGGACTTGTCGTCACCGAAAGAGATCCCGAGTGGATCGATGTGGGCCTTCTGGTGGCCTCTGACCTGGTAGGCACGGACGAGCAATTGGACCTTTAAGTGGGAAACAACATCCTCATTGATAGGGGTGGAGCCTGGCAGGAACGATGGCGCGCCGCCTGCTGGGGTTGGGACCAAGGTTGGAGGAGCCATGAACGCCTGGGATGGCGCAACACCGGCATCGACGTTCTTGAAGTAGGCATTCCAGGAGGCATGGACAGAGGATGGGTCGGCTCTCCAGGATTCGTACATCTCGTCGATGTAAGTAGCGTTATTGGTTTGCAAAAAGGAGTCGGTGGTAAGAGATCTAGCCATCAAGGGCTTGACCTGAGCCTTCAAGAGGTGCGCGCGTGGCACGGCGCTGCGGAAAGCTCTAAGCATTGTGAATGATTATTAAATGAATCGACAAGAGTCTACAGAGCTGGTGGCGAATCAATTTAAGTTGGAGAGAGAAGAAAAAGAGTGTTTCTGCTGGCGACTGAGTAGGCAAAACGGAGGTTTATAAGAAAATTTGAGGAGTCTTGACGCTGAGAAAATTCCGACAGCGGTCTGCAAAAATACACTGCGACATTTGGAGCTTCCGGGGGGTCGGGCGTCGCAGGCCGAGCTACCGCCCCGGAGTGAGCGGCAGCCGCAGACGCAGTCCCGGGGTTATGCAAGCGATCCAGATACGCAGGTATATTAGCGAGACACTGAAGTTGCGCTCCGAGGCCTCCGATTGTGGAGTTTTAGGTATTGGTAGTCTGAAGGTGCTTCCTGAGTGCAGGCGGAGAGCTCTGGTATACGTAATCTGGAGGTGCTTCTTGGGTGCAGGCGGAGGGCTTTGGTATACGGACAGTCCAGATTGGGATTGATCAGTTGGTGGACTGCGAATCCGGTAAATACTGCGATGCAACGGTGGAAGATCGGATCTAGCTTACTCAACTTTCAGAGTGTTTGAAATACGACGTTTATCCTATTAGGGTCAGACTTTTTGATTAGATATGTTCAATGACAAGGATTTTTGTTGTTCCTATGACTACAAGTCCAAAACGTAGGTGATTGAGGTTTTCAGCTCTGTAGTGAGGAATCCCCGCATGGACTTTAGCCATTTGGTCTGTCTACGCGACAACTCCCACATCTTATAAGCTCGTTCTTTTCCCTAAGTCTTCAATTTCTCCAGTTTGGCAAACGCTTCATGCTTTGTGTTGGACACATATCTATCCCCCGCCGTAGAAGCTAATGCGTAGAATGCCGCCTCCTGCATCGTTTATGGCGCTGGAACGAGGTATCCATCATGGATATTTTTTTCTACCAGTTGCCCGGAGAACTCCAGTCAACGGTTTGTTTTCCGGGGGTACCGGGTCGGAGGCTTGTCATTCCATACGTCAAAAACGCACATACTCCATCCACCCTATTCGCTAAAATCTTGTTGGAAGGTGCCTTTCCAAGGCCCAAATTAGGTTTTCTCCGGTGCAGCCATCGGCATATTTCAGAACGCTATATAATATGGGAAATGGGACGTATTATCCTCGAGGCATAGCTATAAGCACTTGCTCTTTTGCCTAGGCCGTTTCTGTTTCAGTCTCGTCCCCACGTGGAAACCCCCGTGCTTACTCTGCGATCCGGCTCCGAGCCGTTGACGATTCATATTGTAGCACGCTCATTGGACGCGGATGCAGGGGTGGTCACGTGATAGAAAAAGTGCACCGGGTTATCCGGCGTATAAGCAACTATGTGTCTGCTGTTTCGAGAGCATTGTCACGGTGAGTGCGTCATGCAGCAGTTCTGAGTACAGGATCGTTTAATGTCATCCGCGATTGGTATGACACTTGAAATCTACCACAGGGGCAATTGACTCCAGATTTGGCATTGGGAAGTGTGCTTTACTAATTTTTTTTTGGCGTCGTCAGACTGGATTACGCGATGCAATATAATGTGGAATGCTGAAAGGGGGTACAAGAATGTTCGAACTCACCGATACCCATATTCGAGGAATCGTAGTGCTTACTCGTACCAGTTCAACGTGATATGAAATACAGCCCACGATTAGCAGTTTTTAGTAATAGGAGAACTCTAGATACCTCGTTCAATCTAAAATTAAAGTTGCCTGAAAAGATGGAACTTGGCATCGTTCATACATTGTTATCTCAACGGAGATCGTCTCATGAAGCCTGGTGGTTTTCGCAGCGACATCCATAATGTAGTGCGGCAAAGGCGTTAGAGATCGGCCGCCCGACAGAGATCGTCTATGCCCCTCCCTTCCATATTTGCTTCGGTCTTTTTGGTCCGCTCCTACAAAATACTAGTTACACCGCTGGCCATCTGAAATTGATCTTTGGTGGCTAAATACTGGTTGCACTCAATATCCATTCGTCATTTTTTTTGTTGGTTGACGTATTGAACATTGACACGATGTCGACCAAGAATGGAAACCACAATAGATCGTGGTTCGTCATACTAATACCAATATTGGGAAGATGGCGTTATGACCAACTTGTAGTTCTCCCTAAGCATATACATGCCCTAGGGGTAGTCGGTTTGCCCAAGGCCTCAATTCAACCCCTTTGGGTATCACAGATCTGATAAATCCGGGAGAAATCCATCTGGATGATAAGCCAGAAAGTATCCTATGATCCGCACGCGCAAAGTCCAAATCTACTCCCTTGGTTCACCCAACTCACTCTTGTCACACTATATGAATTGTGAGCTATGGTTTGCTTATCGAAACCTTCCCTAACTTTCCAAATTTCTATGCCTTCTAACTCCCGCAAGTTTCCTGTTTTCAACCCACAGAGGTTTTTCAAGCATAACCACACATATTCGTCAAGTTTGAAATAACCTGTCATCGCCTCTACTCCAGATTCCCTCATCTCCCCCACCCTCTGAAACGATCCACAGACCCTTCGGATGTCGCGCCCTTACCACTTTTTCGACATTTCCTCTATGCTGCGCCCACCGCTTCACTTATGCCCGCGCCCTTGCCGCAACCTTGAACGGGTAGTGTGCCTGAAAAAAAAACTGGAAAATAGCCCGAGCCTCCATGTATCAACAGTGATCTCCCCACCACCCCTCACCATGTCTAACGGCTCGCAATCCCTTTGGGAAAAAACCGCCGGTTTTGTTGCTAAGAACAAGACTGCGATCCTCATCACCTCTTTGGCCGGTGCCTCTGCTGCTGGTGCCTATGTGTACTACCAGCAACAGGCCGCCACCCAGGGCTCCACCACTGAAACTACTTCCAAGAAGAAGAACAAGAAGAAGAAGAAGAAGGCTGCTACCCCTATTGCCGAGGAAGCTGCTGCTCCAGCTGCTGAACGGACCACTGCTGTCTCCACCGCCTCCGAAAAGCCGTTCCCGGTCGATGCCGCCGGTTTGCCAGCCTTGACCGGTGAAATTGTCGCCGCGTTGTCTCCAGAACAGATCGAGGAATGGTCTGTTGCTTTAAAGGAGTCCGGTAACGTTGTCTTCAAGGAGAAGAGCTACGAAGCTGCCATCGCTTTCTACTCCGCCGCCCTCCAGGTTAAGGAGGATCCAGTCTTCTACTCCAACAGATCTGCCTGTTACTCCGCCTTGGAGGACCACGAGAACGTCATCGCTGACACTACCGCTGCTTTGACCCTCAAGCCAGACTACTCCAAATGTCTCCTCCGTCGTGCCGCCTCCTACGAGCTCCTCGAACAGTACGAAAACGCCATGTTCGACCTCACCGCCCTCACCGTCTACGGTGGTTTCAATAACCAGTCCCTCGAATCTACCTTGGAACGTGTCTTGAAGAAGCACTCCGTCAAGATCGTGTCTCAGCAATTGGAAAACCGCGTGCCATCCCTCCCATCCGCTTCCTCTATCTCCTCCTTTTTCGGTGCCTTTATCCAGGAAACCACCTTGGGTGGTCTCTTGTCACAAAACGCTGCTGAGGGCTCTGCCGATGCTTACTTGTACCACGCCTTGGCCGAATTGGCCAAGAACACTCCAGAGGGCTACGAGGCCGCCGATGTCGCTTTGGCCCAGGCCGTCGCTGCCTACGGTGACGTTTCCCCAGACGCCGAAAACGCTGTCCAGGCAGCAGTGGCGCTTGAATACTCTGGTGCCATCAAATTCTTGAAGAACGACCCATTGGCCTCGCTTGTCGACATCAACGCTGCTCTTGCCATCAAGCCAAGGGCCAGAACTTACGTGTTCAAGGCGTTGATCGCTGCCGACAAGGCTAACTTCGAAGATGCTCTTGCCAGTTTCGCCCAGGCTGTTGAAACCGACGCTTCTTGTCCAGATATCTACTACCACCAGGGTCAAATGTACTACTTGACCGGCGACTTGGCCCAGGCCGAGGAACAGTTTGAGAAGGCTAAGTTGTACAACCCCGATAATGTATACGCCTACATCCAATTGGCCTGTATCGCTTACAGAAACGGTCAGAGCGCCGACGCCGAGGCCAAGTTTGCGGAGGCTCGTGCCAAGTTCCCAACCTCGCCAGAAATTCCAAACTACTATGGTGAAATTCTCGCTGATAAGGGAGACCTTGCGGGATCCCTCAAGCAGTTTGACACTGCCGCTAGATTACAGGAAGCTTTGCCAAACTTCTCAGTTGGCGCTGTTCCGTTGGTGAACAAGGCCACCTTGATCTCCCGCGAAGGCAAGGTCGACGAGGCTGTTGAGATCTTGACCAAGGCTTGCGAATTGGACCCTAAGTCTGAGTTGGCCCGAATCTCCTTGGCCCAGTTGATGTTGCAGACCGATAAGGTTGAAGACGCCATCACTTTGTTCGAGGAAAGCTCCGTGTTGGCTAGAGCCTTGGAAGAGAAGATCCAGGCTACCTCGTTCGCCGAAGCTTCGAAGATGCAAATCAGAATCAAGCAGGACCCACACTTGTCCCAGAAGTTGGGTGAGTTGATGGCCCAGGCTTCTGCCATGCAAGCCCAGCAGACCCAGTTCTAAGTGTATATATTGGCATCAAAACAAATGGAAATCCGTAATCTGTATAGCGATCGAAGCCTACTAGGTTAAATTATCTGGAACGAGAACTACTGTTTGAAATAACAGCCCTAGCTCTTACCCTTGAAGGCTTGTCACATTGAAGCACTCCGTAGCGTATTCTCGCCTTAGCCCCTAACCTTGTGGGAATGTTCAGTCTTGTCGCTCCGAAGCATTTGGTCGGAAGCTGCCGTTTAGCTATAACAAAGTTTTATGCTAGTACCTCGTTTATATTACAACTATATACACAACAGCATCCGTGACGACCGCCGTTTGCCACGATTCATTCTGGAAACACCAAACAATACACAAATATGGAGTCTGCTTACCACCAGTTCCCCTTGGACCTGTCGGCTCTGCGCTGCTCCATCCATTCCTTCTTGCACTCTCTGTACGCCGCAAAGTACTCGTGACACATCTCCTTGTTGTAGTCGTTTCTGTCCAAGCAGCGGAGCGACATCTGCGCCGTTTCATGGCACGGGTCATAAAACTTGGATGGCTCCTTGGCCATCATCTGTCTCTGGTGGTGGTTCGTGGTGGGATTGTCTGGGTACATTTTGATCTTCTCCTGGGTCACGAATTCGACCTTCTCCTTCTGGGTCTCCAAGCTCGGATCCTGGGCTTCGATAGGGGTTTTAGTGGACATTTTGAAATAGGTACGAACTTGGCGCGGGATGGATCTTTGTACAAGTGATGTAGCCGGTCAGATATGCCAAGGTTAAAGTGGCGGCTCACCCGAAAATTGTTGTGAGCGACTCCATGCAGTACGGGAGATACGAGGGTTGACTATTTGAAGCGCACTAACATTTAATAAAGCATAGCTATCATTGATGTATTCTTATGTCATTTTGTTACTCAGGTCTGCAGTTGGCGTGTTTTAATATGAAATATTAAGCTGAAGTGGCGTCACTCATTTGCGTGGATGACGGCGAGTATCAGTTTCAGCTTAATCAAAATCACCGAGGCTCATATCAGCTGTCGCGTTAATTTTTCCGTTTAATTTATTTTATATTCAGATATATCAATAATGGCTAACCGATAGGTGGGTGCCCAACATTGGAACGGTCGCTAGGTTGGCTGTATCCATTAGCGAATATTGTAAACTCTAACGCGAAAGGGTTAACCAAAGTTTAGTTACGGAGGTAACTCCCTGAGGTAGATAGTCCGTAAGTAAAGCAATATATTTGCACGCTCAAGAAAACATTCAGAGAAATACCCATACCAACCGCCAGAGAACTACTCAAACCATTAAGGACTGGTTAATACATAGTCCCAACCTTTCCTGCAATAAAATGCTCTTTCTGACACATTTACCGATTTAGATGCGGCGAGGCCAACGAGAATGAATCATCCGCCTCTATACTCGCCTCTGATGACCTTCGAGAGAGTTTTATGGACGCATTCCCCAGAGACTCTTGTTTACCATCTGAGTTCCCATCTCTGGGATCCGCAAGGGATAAGGACTCCAACATTTCCTCCTTGAGGGTGGGTGTCGGGGTGGAGGAGTCCACGTGCGGCACTTCCTGGGAGTTTAACGGCGTGTTGATGAGCGAGACATACAGCTGGGTGGTTTCGCCGTTGAGATGCGCTTCCTCGTCTTCGTCGTCCGGGTTGAATGGATCAGGGCACTGCGCGATCAAGTCATCAAGCCCGCCACCGGACCAGCCCTTGCGCGCAATGCCTTCATATATCTCAACCTGCGCGCGCACAACAGACCCCGCACGGTCTAACACGCGTTCGGATGCTGCCTGGACAATCTCAAAGGACGAGAGGTAGTAGTCGTGCTTCAAGCGGTCGATCTCGTCGACCTGGAACGTGAGTGCCTGGAGCGTCGTGCGGTACTGCGCCAAGTTGCGGCTCTTCATGCGCGATAAGCGGAGGTTCTCACGCTCACGCGCACGCAATGCCTGGTTCTTTGCGCGGATGGTGGTGCGGAACTCCGCCTCGGCACGCGTAATAGACGTCTCAAACGCCTCGATTTCCTTCTCCACCGGCACTTCAAACGCCGATTTGATACTGAGCGCAAGAATCTGCTGGTGGTTGGCCACGAGGTAGTGCAAGCCCCCGGCAGACAACAAGCCGTCGGCCGCAGCACCGCTGCCCTTGCACCGCGCGGCATCTTCGAGAGCCAGCGCAAAGCCGCTCGCGGCCTCGGACACTAGAAGGAGCGCCTCTCGATATTTCCCCGCCTGGCGGACCAAGTTCAGGAACGACTGTTTTGTCTGCAGCACATCTGAAGCCGTGATGAGTGACGGCAAGTCCATCACCGAGGGCCCAATACTGCTGAACGTGGTGTTGGAGGCGCGTCGCGCGAGGGGCGGGGCAAATGAGGCATCTGTCCGTGGGAAGCTCTCTGACGTACGGTTCTGATTTCCCTGGAGAAGCGAGTAGAACTCGGAAAGGTGGTCAGGCGGTCTGCTATCGTGCGCAGTCGTCTCTGGGCTGTGATACGCAGTTACCGGCGCAACGGACACCGGGGTGACTGAGGGCATGGGAACTGGGGCTGGCTCTGACATTATAGGCAAAGATAAGTTCGCAAATGTTAGGATATATTGAAGCCTTTACCAGGTGGTATATAGTCTGATAAGTGTTTTGGAGCACCCTTTCAAGTCGTTCCAGTGTCAACAGAGTACTGGTAGGATAGACGGCGGTTTGAGGATAGTACAGCAATATAAGCTAGTAGTGGTAGATAATCGGAAATTCTATGCTTAGCCGTGTTACGATTGCTTGTTAATCCGTAGTGAAATGTATAATGGCACCGACAACTCTATTACAGATATATTCTGGGCAACCCTTATTGTTTTGCCGGGGGAAACGTGCCGCCGCACCCACATCACGTGATTGAAAAATTGAACCACAAATTTTACCGTTGAAATAGCTGGCCGACACAAACAGTTGCCGATGTCCCGATAACCACCTGCCACACCATGTTGAGGACATCGTTTAATTTTCTCAGAGCTCCGGCCCGCTTCTCGCGCACCTTAATGTCGCTCAGCCTCGAAGAGCAGATGGCACGCGACACCGTCAAAGCGCCGTTGTCCAGAAAGACCTACCTCTCGGACATCTATACGCACCTTTTGAAGAACAACGAGACGGTTTTGTTCTGCCACCACAATAACTTGCACAAAAATGATGAGGCCAATTTCAGACACCAGATTAAGGAGGCCGGTGCCCAGCTCACTATCGTCAAAAGCAAGATCTTCAGCGCCATCTTGAGATCCGAGCAGGAAGCCGACCCAACCTCCAAGGCGTCCTACGATAAAAACAGAGACGTTGTCCACCCGTTGCACCCATTGTTGAATGGGCCGTCTGCTGTCATTACCGTTAGGGACTGCAACCCCGAAGTTGTCAGCAAGGTGTTGAAGGTGTTGAAGGTGGCTAACGAAAGATTGTTCTTGGTTGGAGCCAGGATTGAGAGTAATACCTACGACTCTAGCGACGTCCAGAAGTTCAAGGATATGCCATCTAAGGCTGCCTTACAGGCCCAGTTGGCTGGAATGTTGACCGTGCTCGGGGGTGCCGGCTTGGTCAGAACCTTGGAGGCGGCGCCACAGATGTTGTACCTCACCGTTGATGCGCACCGCAAGGTTATTGACCCGGCAGAGGTCGAAGAGTCTGTTTAGGGAACAGAATGCTGTATATAGTTTGAAATAAGAAAGAAAAGTGATTAGACGGACATAGCGAGCCTGATCGGTTAATGTAACCGTGATAAGAATGGGGATTAGTGTAATAATTGGCATAAGCAGACATTGTAGACAAATGCAAACCTTTTTTCCTCGATTTAGAAAGAAAAAGCTATTACCACCTTGGAAATAATGTTCTGCGGGGACTGAAACAGAAGTGGTTGAGTAAGCCGTTGGCTGTTTGACCTATGGAGTCTAGAAGATGGATTAGAAATACAAGAATCTGGTTTGGTGTGTGGTAGGTTCTCCTGTTGCTGTCTTAATTCACGATCAGCCCACTATTATCTCTGTAAATCAAGTTTCTATGCACCTTTCTCGACCCCATTTGTTTTTACCTCTAGGGTTACTGTTTCCGAAATTTGTTCCCACGCATTTCAATGGTAGGGCTTCTAACAGTTTAATCTCGTCAAAAATGTAAAGAGTATAGGACAGGCTGTATTCGTCGGTGCTAACTTGGAAACCCATGTTGAGCTTTTCACTCTCGAAAGATTTCTAATTCACTGACTGAACCCGGTCTTCAGTGGAACTTGATATAGTATTTATTAAAAGTATTTCCAAGCACACCGGCAAACTTCGAGATGGTAACCTGAAAATCACGTTTAGAAGATGTTTCTTGGAATCCTGAGGCTGAGTAGCTCTCATAGAGGAAGATGTTTAAATTCCGTACTTTGAACTGTAAAACGTAGGAAAATGTTGACGTTGTCTTGTGCAAGCCGGAGGGAAATGAATAAATGAAGTTTTTTTTGTCGAGTGTTAAGCAGATCTGAGATGAAGTTTCAATTATGAGTAACGGGAAGAAAATTCTACAAACGTTGGTGTGTTCCCTATATTTCAGACCTACAACAGATGCCTGCCACCAGATATAGTACGAAATCCCACCGATCCCCAGACGAGAAAGGATGAACCAAGGAATATAAACCTATATCCTTATTCATTGTGGAATTAACCAATTTATAGACCTTAAATAAATCAGTTTGCGTTTAAATACCCAGAATCGCTTGGCTCCGATCTCATCCATCACATGACTTTGCGCCGCATGAAATTTTTTTGATGCACGCAATTTTCACGATTCACCTAGAGAAAAAAACTACTAACGGCCCCGAACAATATCATAGCTTCTCTAGTCAATCCAGAAAAAAAATGTCTGACGTCGTTGAAAATACCAAAGAACAGCAACTCCTGGAACTTAAGGATGCCGCTTCTAAGCGCCTGGCCTACAGAAACGAGCAAGATACCAAGCGTAAAGCCTTGAAGCACGCCCGCTTCGAAGAAATGAGAGAAGCTACACCAGAATCTGGTGCTGAGGTCGAATTGCCAAGGAAGCGTTTCTATAGACAGAGAGCCCACTCCAACCCATTCTCTGACCACAAGTTGGACTACCCAAAAACTCCAGAAGACATGAACTGGAAGAAGTTGTATCCAGGCTTCTACGATGAAAAGACCGGGAAAATGACCCAAAACGTTGAGATCGCCGATATCGGCTGTGGTTTTGGTGGCTTAATGGTGGATTTGGCCCCACACTTTCCAGAATCCAACATTCTAGGGATGGAAATCAGAGTGCAAGTCACGCAGTATGTGGAGGACAGAATAACCGCCTTGAGAAGAAAACACGCAGAAGACGCCTGCAACTTCCAAAACATTGCCGTCTTGAGAGGGAACGCTATGAAGTTCTTGCCAAACTTCTTTCAGAAGGCCCAGTTAAAGAAGATGTTCTTCTGCTTCCCAGATCCACACTTCAAGCAGCGTAAGCACAAAGCCCGAATCATCACCAACACCTTGTTGTCCGAGTACGCCTACGTTTTGAGAGAGGGTGGTATTGTCTACACCATCACGGATGTATTTGACTTGCACCAGTGGATGGCCAAGCACTTGGAGGAACACCCATTGTTCGAAAGATTGGACAAGGCCTGGGAAGAACAAGACGAGTGTGTCAAAATCATGTACAACGCCACCGAGGAGGGACAAAAGGTGGACCGCAACCAGGGGAGCAAGTTCATTGCTTGTTTCAGAAGGATTCCAAACCCGGAATTGTAAGTAGAGTATGATTTTATTGCTTACATGTATATTAGTTAACGTTAGAGTCTGTATGCTTAATAATTTGAAAAACATCGCTTGATATCGCGTAATCTATTGGAGAAAGGTTGGGAGCTCTTGTATGAAACTAGATCAGCCGTGCACATGGCGTAGACTTCATTATTTGAGCTTATGCCTTATCTCTGTATGGGAATAGCACGGCGTTCCATGACTTATTGAATCCTACCCAAGTAAGCTCTCACTTTCACCAGTTCCTTTTTGGCGGTGGCTACCGCTTAAGAAGCTCCTAATTGAAGTCCCGCCTTGTTTCTGTTTTGCTTTATAGGCAAGGATTTCATCGAGGGTCGGGGGCTGGACCTGCGGACCCCCGTCAGGCGTTACGACATCTCTGAGGGAGGTGATTCCCCGGCTATTTTCGCCCAATTGAGAATTGGATTCCATCCGAGGAGCTCCTGGTCGCCCAGACGTCAATGTGGCATCATTGGGGGTGTCCCGTGCGCTGTGGTGCGACGAGTGAAAGCTAAAGATCGATGACGAGTCGTCAAACGCTGAATCCATATCCTCTAACTGCAAACCTTTGGTCTCTGGGAACATCACATACACTACCCCAAGCGAAAGGAAACAGGAGGCGGCGGGGATGAGATACATCTTCCAGCGAATCGACTCTTGTAAAATCGGCGTCATTTCCCCAACAAGCCAGTTGAAAATCCAGTTTGAAGCAGTAGAGAGAGAGGTTCCCTTGGACCTGATCGACAAAGGAAGAATCTCTGGTGGGTAAAGCCATGGTAACGGTCCCCATGAGCACCCAAACGCGGCGTTATAAATAACCACAAGAATAACCACAAGAAGAGGGGTCAGTGGGATGTTTAGGTACAACACATAGGCAATCGATAGCAACGGTATACCCATGGCAATAGCCCCATACAACAATAGTTTTCTTCTCCCCCAGGCATCAACCAAGTACCACGGTGGAAGGGTACTCAAGACGTAGATGATAGAATTGAGTCCCGTCATGAGAATGGCATCCCTACCCACCCAACCAGCCTGTTCAAAGACTAGCGGGGCGTAGTAAGAGATGATATTAATACCGTTTAATTGCGCAAACATCTGGGATGCCATGGCGATCACAACCCTCTTTTTGTAACGCTTGAACATAAATGCGTACGATCTCTCGCCCTCCAACCTGCTGATCAAGACGCTTTCTTTGATGGCGGTAAACTCTGTCTGCGCTTTTGGGTGATGGATATCACCACTGCTGTAAAGGTCGGCTATAACCATGATTCCTTCAGTATCGTGGTCATTATCAAGCAACCACCGAGGCGTTTCTACGAGTGCAAACGATCCCAAAAAGAGGATGCTTCCCATAACCACTTGCACTCCCAAGGGAACTCTCCAAGACTTGTGGCTTTCCATGTAGGAACAGATGTAGTCTAGCCAGATGGAAGAGGAGTATCCGATGATATTCCCGGTAAACTCCATGCATGCAAGCTGGCCTCTGTTGTCGGGCGGAGAAATCTCGGACTGGTAGACGGGAACTATAGCAGATAACAACCCGATCCCCAACCCACTGATAAATCTTCCGGCCGAGAGCTCTATAATATTGCGCGAACCTGTCTGGAAAGCACCCCCGATGATGAAGATGAAAGCGCCGTATCTGATAGTTCGTTTCCTGCCAATGTGATCCCCGATCCAGCCCACCAGTAGAGAGGAGAGTAACGCACCGATCTCCAAGATAGCTACCATGGTCCCAATTTCAGCGGCACTGGGGTTGTGGAAGTACGCCTGAAAGTAATGGTTGGTGATGAGGCCACTCATAAGGCCTTGGTCGAATCCGAAGATAAAGACCCCAAGACTAACAAAGATAGAGGTGAAGTACAACAAGGCTTTACCAACGAGAAACCGATCCGATGCGTACACATTTGTGGGAGCATTCATTGTGACTTTGGTTTTAGCCTCCGGGTTCAATTGGTGTATTCGTTGATTCTGATGCTTTAACCGTGGTGTGCCACTTTTTGATGAATGAATCTTGTAGAAGGATGCAACGGCAGATTGAACAACAAAGGGTGTGGTTAAACTTGTAAGCATAAGCTATGACTTTCGAGACCTTGAAGTGAAATACTTAACGGTCTGGAAAACCCCATGTCGTGTCGTCGAGTCTTGATCCGTTTACTTATCAGTGACGTCACCGCCCCTCGGAAGTATATATGCCGTCCGAAAAGGGCCCCTGTGAGATTACGTAAACACATATCTGAACACATATCTGTAATGGCATGGGGTGTTCAACCATATCAACTTGTATATACTAATGGATGAGGATATATACATATATATCGAGATATAGATAATTGTTATAAAAAACATATATGTGGGATACCTAGGTTTATTTATAATTATATATATTCAGGGCAGATGCATTTATTTCATAATTTTTTTAAAATATATTATATAGCATTAAAAATATACATTTGGTGTTAATGGAGATTCATAATTACGTAAATGCATACAATACGAAATAAACTTATATAAGATTGATCGTAGACCGGAAACCAGTTTGAATAGGATGTCAAGTGTGCGAAAAAAAAGAGGGAGATGATTTCGCCCAGGATCGAACTGGGGACGTACTGCGTGTTAAGCAGGTGCCATAACCAACTAGACCACGAAACCATTTCTTGTGGATCGGTAGACGTATAACAATCCAGATAAAGGAGTAGAAGCGAAAGATCTCTGCTCTACCCCGAGATTACTCCCGTTTTAGTAACACCCACATACGATATTCAATTGATGACAGTAACTTTGGTACTAATTCGATAAAACGGCATTGTTGAAAATCTTAATCATCGTATTTGCTGTAGTCTGGGATCCAATACAATCTCAACTTTTTCTGTTCTCCCAAAGTGGCGATTTCGTCCACTTCTTCCTGGGTCAATTCGAAGTCAAAAATTCCCAAAATCTCGGTCAATCTTTCCTTTCTGGAAGTGGTGGTGATGGGTAAGACGCCCTTTTGGATTACCCACCTTAAAAGCACTTGGGTATCAGACTTGCCATACTTCTTGGTCAAAGCAGCAACGACTGGGTCGATAGGACCTGGACCCTTGTACAAAGGTGCAAGTGGGGCATATGCCGAGAGCAAAATCTTGTGTTCCTGAGCAAACTCGAAAATCCCCGGGGTCTGGTTCTGCAAGTATGCGTTGAATTCGATCTGGTTAACTTGGGGAACCACTTTAGCCACTTTGAGAATATCCTGCAATGGCTCTACACCAAAGTTAGAGACACCAATATTCTTGGCCAAACCTAACTCCTGGGCCTGTTCTAAGGATTGCCACGCTTCCTGAAGGGAGAAGCCATGTGACTCCCTCTTGATCCAAGGAGAGTGGAGCAAGTATAAATCAAAATAATCAGCACCAGTTTCCTTCAATTGCTTCTTAATGGCATCTAAGGGAGTCCCAGAAGAGGACCTGTATTTGTAACTGGAGTCACCGGCAAAGTACTTGTTGGTGATCCACAAGTCAGATCTGGACTTTCCACCCTTGATTATCTCGGCGAGGGCTTGCCCAATCTCACCGTCAGTACCGTAAATCTCCGCACCATCGATATGAGTAAAACCAACATCTACAGCTTGGGTGATGGTCTGGACCAAAGCGGTGTCAAATGGATCACTGGCCCCACCACGCTTGAACCACTTAGTACCGGCCCCGAACCCAACGGCTGGCACCTTTGCACCCGTGGTTGGAAGTGTGAATGTCTTGGAAATTGGCATGGCTACTGTTGGAATTTTTTTGAGTTTCAGTTGAATACGGTAGCTATTATTGATAGAGAGAATGCTGCGGGGTGAGGAAATTCAGGGGCAGCCAGATTTATGTAGAATTCTCTAGACTTGACCTACATGCGTATGCAAGGCCGGCCCGAGCCGCAATACGCTAAAGATCGCCTATTTTGGCTTCAGACAGGATTGGCTTACTAAGCAGGGCACGAAGTGTGGGGTTGAGGTAAAGGTTAGAAGGGTTCTGCACCAGAGGGGGGTCAATCATGGAAAGGCACTACACCAGAGAGGATTAAGATAAAAACTTCTGCTCCAATAAGTGAATTGCATCCCGGTGACGCGAAAACCTTACCCGGCAAGGTAAGATACTAATCTGGTTATTAGCGTGGTAGCGACATTACCGAGCTAAGGGTCTAACGATAAGAGGTTTCGTATCCTTCGTGATATTTTCTTCTGGTCTTTATCTTGAGCGATAAATTCTGATTTAGGAGCAGGGACAGTGTGAATGAAATCTTACCTTACAGCATTTTCACCCAGAATATAAACTGTGTTTACGAATTCTATGTTTCAATAATTCCATCACACCAAAGGTCATTATGTGGCCTTCAGAATTCCTGATTAATAAGCTTGATGATGACAAATAGCTTCGTTAGACCCACATGATCTTCACGACACTACCATGAAAGTTAATCAAGGCAAGTATATGGCATGGTATTAGTGTGCACTTTAAAGTTGCAAATGTTGAGCTTTTCCACAGCAGAATCCCTGTTTGATCGGCATCGTACAGCTATCACTTCCTGTCTAGCAAATGAATCTATTACTAATCACTTTTATCGGTTACCAGTAGATTACAACCTTAAAGTTTTATAGACTATTTTATTCAATATTAAATGACCGTTATCTCAACCCCCTTTTGGTTGTCTCTGCTTTCAGTATACTACTTGAGCTCAGATATGCACACTCACAATGAAATAGTCTTACAATGCAATAATCTCACAATGACCCTTCAATAAAGCACGCATGGAATTACGCAGTTTAATTCTCCCCAACTTCTGTTCCAACTGAAAGTTTAACATCCCCTCACTGTTACTAACACCACAGTCACCAACCTTAAACTTTACACGTGCATTACCCCAAACAGGTACAAGGTGGCCATACTTTTGGAGTTCTTGGGCCTCGAGTATAATTTTCAGAATTTGGACGTTAAATTGAATGAGCAAAAGGAAGATTGGTTTCTCAAATTGAACTCGAATGGATGTATTCCAACCTTGACCGACCCTACCGCCGACATTGCCATCAGCGAGATCGCTGCGATCATGCATACCTTGTGGACAAGTACGACACCGAGCACAAGTTCTCATACCCAGTAGGCTCCAAAGAATATTATTTGCAGTTGGAGACATTGTATTCCCAGATGACCGGGTTAGGGCCAATGATGGACCAGGCCAACTAGTTTGTGAGGCTTGCCCCAGAAAAGATCCCCTACGGTATCGCTCGTTACACTGAGGAAACCAAGAGATTGTACTCAGTCTTGGAGGAGCACCTCGCCGGAAACGCCAAGAGCGGGCCTCTCTACTTGGTCGGTGACTACTACTGTATTTCGGAAATCGCCATCTTCCCATGGACCTCTACCTTATACTTTATCGGCATTGACATTTTCGAGTATCCGTTGGTTGCCAAGTGGCACCAGACCCTTGGGGCCTTGCCAGAGGTTCAGAAGGAGTTGACCATTCCTAAGCTATCTCCTTTCTAGAGTTTGCACTAATATGAATTATTTATTTGGATACTTATCAAGGTATAGAAGTCTGCTCGTCTAGTTAGAACAAATATAGAAAAATTATTAGTTCTAGAGTGGTTGTCATGGATGTTAAAAGATGAGCCACTGGGATGAACTACTGGGATGAACGAACGCAAAGTAATCTCAAAATATATCATCGAACGGTTTCAATAGTGTAAGCATTATCCACCTTTCTAAGGCATTATTTAACGACTGTCCTAGACAGAGGCACGTCCCAGTAACGGATAGTGAGATCTCCTGCCACCAGTTGATTCCTAAACGGCACCCTCGCAAACGCTGGTGATGATGCAGCCCTTTAACTGCGAGTTATACCTTATTGTAACAGCAAACGTTGGCCATACCTCAAATGACATAGCCTCGCTAGAAAGTGGAGGGGGTCTTGATGCTGGACGGCACTTGACCCGGCAGCACGAGCATACCCTTCCTTTAGCGTTACTGAAAATTCTAGACATAGACATGTCAGGATACCCCTTGTATCTGGAGCGAATGCACATGCACAGGTGGAATTTATGAGTACTAGGACTGATCTTGAACGTGATACACCTGCAGCTAGTTTCAACAATGTTTACAGCGAAATATGCATAAGCTGCTAGACGGGAAGCAAACCCGTTCCACCATTAGTTTCTAGAAGAATGCCTGCATGATGGCCTGCACCTAAGGAAACGATCTTCACAATTCTGTGCGTGGATTTAAACCCATCCAATTCGAGAGCAACCAAATTCTGCTAGTATACATTTCTGCAATTGCATGGCGTGCAGCTTAAATAAATACGTACTGGCTTTACATATTCATGCGTCATACCCCAACCTAAAGCCACATCAGCCGGGAAGTGATGTTATTCCTCTTACCAAAAAGCTCTGAACGGAAAAGCCAGGTATAAACCTACTGAGAGTTATGCAGCCGGACAACAACCGACACGAACATATTAACCGACGGTTAATTATATGACCGTGCCTGCCTGTCTCAAAGACGGGCCATGAAACAGTTTACATTCCGGTAAACTTCCAGGACAATATAATAGACGAAGGGAAATGGACTAGTAACATCCAGATCTCCATGCCAAGCAGATTCATTACCGATTAACCCGAGTCAAAATATCTACAATAGCTGGTCACATGCATCATAATAACCCCCTTACATGCGTCCGCACCCAAAGTCGTCTGTGTGGTGCCCTAACGAAGGTGAGGTTTGCGTTAAAAGCTAGCCTGGAGGATGAATGGACCTATAGTTAGAGATTTTAGGTCAAAGACTGAGATGTTTTTCGATCAGCCTCTCCGCAAGGTTACAGTACGCCTGGACCGAGAGTTCTTCCAGCTGGCGGGTACGCCACCCGAACCTTTCTTTTCTCATAAGCCGCACATATTGGAAGAATGCACATGTGTGGAGCGCCTTAGGCATTATATCTGAGGATACTCGAAATTACAACGGACCGGGGTCCAGGACCGTTTTCCGCAGGTGTATCCAGGAATGATGGAGTTTACACTTTCTAAAGGTGGCATGTCGGCTAGACTAGGAACCGTAAAGTTTGGAGAATCTCTATACTTTGGCGGCTGCTCCTGGCCATGCATCTGAAACGATTTGAAATCGTGTTTCCTTATCAGTGGTTTGTTTTTGTCGAATCTCGTAGAAAATGCATTCTGTTCTTCGGCAGCACTATAATCATTGCAGTTAAGCTTAGATGCCTTGCAACATACGAGCTATGTAAGGAATATGGTACGGGCACCTTATAGGCTCGGAGGCTGCTTTAAAGTACCAGATTTCCGCGCGCAGCTTGCGATCAATTAGAGATGTGTGAAAATCGGGGCTTATACTTAGACCAAAACGGTCGAGCGAAAAGCTGTGGGTTGGCGGGGATTAGCGCGGTGTAAACCGACACGTGAGGGGTAGAATGTTGTAAGTTTAGATGCTAGGCTGACTTTGGTGCCAACACTAAGGTAAGTTCTTATTTTCAGGTTGTCCCGAGTGCATACAATCCCCGTACCGTGCATAAGTCCTGTTTCTTTTTCCTTAGTGTGACGGAGCAAGGGCCAACATATAGTTATGTATCTGTGCGATACATCGGGCCGAGCAGGGGTTGTTTTCCTGTGAAGAGAGATAGCTATCCCGCCAATTTTCAGGTCACTCAGTACAGCGTGATCCCCGATGCAGTAACGAACGTGCCCCCCCAAGATTTGCTACCCCAACGCACAGACATGCACTGCTGAACAAACTCTCCTGCAAAGGCCAAAATCCGAAACGTCAAACTACCCAACTATTTTAGAGAATGGTGGTCACTGACAACGTACAAATAATAAATATGCAAGTGCCACCACTGTACCCTTCTTGTCGTCGCGCATGAAATTGAGAGCACGATACCCGTATGGGCCAGATGCATCTCCAAGGCTTGGAATGACTGTTGTCTGCACGAGAACATAGACTGGTCTGCAGGAGAACGAAATTCCAATCGAACGGCATTGAACGTGTGGGCGCCAGCCATAGTAACCGGCAGATCCGCGGAAAGCAACGAAAGTAATAACGGTTTTTTCCATGCATGGGGAAAAAAAAAGGAATATTAATGCGTCATGCACAGTGATCCTGAAAAAAAAGAAATTTAAAATTGACATTTACAGAAGAATAAAATTTGCCCAGGTCTCTGTTTTGTCCTAGAACATGGATTTCGGTGGAGAGTCGACGGTCTTGGATTAGTTATATACTTCCACACTGGACCTGAACCCAGCTGGCGGACTTTTCTTTCTGAACCCTTCGCCATACTATTCGTTCATTATATACTTGGGGAGAAACTTTAATCTCGTCTATACCCGCATAGACTACCTTCAATTCTGAAGCCCTCCATACAATATTCTCCAAGCACACAAGACACACCATGTGCCATGAGTGTCGCAGTCATGTCCCGGATTTGGACGAGTTGGTACAGCTTTGCAACTATTTATATATCGAAAACCACCCGAAAGAATTCCCATCGAGCCAGCATGACCACCTCACAAGCACGCAACGCTTGTACGCTGAACGGTTTATTGCATACATGACTCAAGTCCACTGCTGCGAAAACTTGCAGTTTTTGATTGACTGCTTCCGGTACGAGACTATGTACCAACGATACCAGGATGTTGTGAGTGGGTGTGTCACAACTCAGGTCGCCCCTCTTCCGAGACCTAGAAACATGCATATACATTCCCACCCCTTGACGTCACGTCTGGCTACCCCGAACATGTCTCCTATTACAAATAACAATAGCTCCGGGAATAATTCACCGAGCACCAGCTTTGATATTGCTCTCCCAAAAGTCCTCAGCGGCTCCACCGGCAACCCCTACGACACGTCTTCGTTTTTATCACCGCAACACTCACGCATCCCGAGTGGTTCCACCAACAACAGCGAACTGGACATTTTTGAAATCGAAGGGGTTGACCCAGCTAGACCTTCCTACCAGGCCAGCGGATTGAGGTGCCAGTACGGTACCGACAATATCAACATCAGCCACGCTTCTTTCGACCTCACAGATGCCTTAGCCCTGAAGGCCCAGCTATTTGATTTTTGGCACGCAATCATAGACACATACTTTACCGAGTCCTCTTTATGCCAACTCAACGTCTCCGCTGTCACTGGCAACAACTTGAGAGATTCCACGCCGCAGTACCGCGATCAAGAACCTTCGTCGGCGGCGGATATCCCCAACCCGAGCCACTTGGAAAAGGTCAAGCAAGAAGTACTTGCGTTGATCAGGGGAAATAACTATCATCCTTTCCGTGATTCATGCCACTCTCAGCTGGAATCACCGATCCCGTTGGTGAGCACCGTGTCTTCCGACAGCACTGGTGTATCCGACAGCCTTGACAACCCAGAGATGGCCAAGTCCTACTATGAGACTAGTGTCACACCTCCTCTTTCTTCTCCACTCCTCGAATCCATCAAAATCCCGTACCCCAGATTGGCAGAGAAGGAGTCCTACGCAACCTTAAAGAACAGTATTGACACCTCTTCACCGAGAACATCCCAGCCGAACTCAAACAGCTCGTCTTTTATTAACCTCTTGGAAAAGGTGGGCTACAGGGGCAAACTGTCTCCGCTCCAGCCTTCGGGAGATGAACAGCTACTGCCATTGAGAGCCACCCCAAGACGCTATTACTCTACCTTTGATAAGTCAGACTTGTCCCCAACTTCTACTGACGATGAACATGGGGATAAGCTAAAAAGTCGTTTTCTGAAGTTGTGGACCAGGGGGTCCAAGAGATGATCTTATAAATGTACTTTCAGCATACCTAGGCTTAACAGCCAGTCACACATTGCACACCGCTCTGGTTTTATTTGAGCGATCTTTATATTCGAATTTTTTTTTTCTTGCTTTGGTTTTTCGTCATTTTCCCTAGGAGTTTTAGGCTCTTCATTCCTCTACATGCTATTAAAAATAATCTGCTCTGTTATTATTTATTCTCATTTCTGTAGTCTGTTGGAGATGTAGTGGGACAGATCTATAGGAGCGATGACAAGCTTTAGAAGCTATGCGCAAGTAATTATATTTGTACGCTTTAGATCATACCAACCTATATATTAGCTTTCAGTTACGATTTTTAGAACTCTACATCTTATATTTGTGCCGGCAAAGTAAAAGTATGTGGTGCAGGCAGAGATCTATAGCTACTGTGATTCGTAGGGTTGATACAATATCGATCTAGACCAGGACTTCTGCCATGGTTCGTTTGGCCACTTTTAAGCAAAAATATTCAAGAATTTTACAAACCAGCAGCCTTAACAAGGTAAAAATGATTCCGTCTTAGAGTAAACAATAGAGGAATAGACAATAATAACAATTTTAACAGTATACTCAAACACAATCGCTCTAGTAGCCAAAGTCCTGGATGGAATGGCAGCGATATCTTCAGCTACTCGTAGCAGCTGGACTATTGACAATGGCAGCCGCAATTGCAAACCGAAACCACCACATCCTTCCTCCTACTGCTTCAAAATCTACAGTTATTGAGCTATAAAACCGCCTGCAATGGAACGGCTGCTATTACTCCCGGTTAACTTCCGCGTAACCCCAGGTAGGTTCACGGGTAGGCCGGTCCCCAGAAAAGTCGTACGAGCCGCACCCGAGCCTTTAGGTCGATCGTACCATTTAGACGCATGCATTGACCCGCACGGAAATTGAAGTGCACACGGAATTTTTGTATTATATACCTATAAGCACCGAGAGGAGTAATGAATGAATAAAATTTGCGGGAGAGGATGTCATTCTAGACCATGAATACTACACAGTGGGTCAGGTTTCAGAGTCCAGAATAGCGAGAAAGGCTGGGCGAGATAGTCGGCCTCCAAAGGTCTATGGGGCTGCAGCTCCTTACGCCACTAAACCTTGGGGGAACAGGGAGTCCGATTGGATATAAAAAAAAAGTGTTTTAGCAATGATAACAAGCTGATATATTCTGTCGGTGACGTATGTTCTAGCTCGATTCACGGCTGAACTAGGAAAATATAAGGGGAGCCAGATCTCCTAGGAGCTGCATGTCCCCACGATATAATCCTAAGCAGGAATCGGACAGCACATCATATCAATGGCTTGCGCGTACTTCGTCCCTCAGTTCTACGCACAGGAGGGAAGATGCGGATAAGAGAGGAAACTCATCGGTAATACACATAAAGCTACAAAAACCTAACCCATATTAACAATCCAAGATATATAGGCCTTTAATTATCATCGATTACCGTAAATAAATTGTTGGGTTTCTGATATGGCACATCACGAGTGTATACCTTAGGATACACAATGAGGGGTTAGCCCCTTGTCCCGTTTCGGAGTTGCTGCGCGGTGTTCCAAAAACGTGCATGCGTTTATGCATGACAGAATAGGGGGTTCGCCTATAAATGAACCTCCCTTCCCCCCTGATTCCTCGCTTCCAGCTCTCACTTTTGTTTCCAGAGGAATTGCAATTATCATGGCATCATCATCTGAATTATCATCTGCCAAGCCGCCGGCTAGACCGCGGATGCACAAGCGCACGTTCACGGGCTTCACGCCGAAGGAGATTCTCGCGATCGATGCGTCGATTCCGGCAAAGTCGCGTGAGGTGTGGAAGAAGTTTGCGGTGAAGGAGTTCGCAAAGATGGAGGACTTCCAAGAGGACTTCATCCGCCACGTGGAAACAACGCTCGCACGCTCGTTATACAACTGCGACGACCTTGCGGCGTACCAGGCCGCGAGCTTCACGCTCCGCGACAAGCTCATTGTCGAATGGAACAAGACGCAGCAGAAGCAGACGTTGCGCGACCCGAAGAGATTGTACTACCTCTCGCTCGAATTTTTGATGGGGCGTTTCTTGGACAACGCGGTGATCAATCTTGCGAACAATGAGGTGGATGCGCTCGAGCATACTGCCGACTTTACACGCGAGACGTTCAGCAGCGCGGTGGACGAGTTGGGGTTCCGTTTGGAGGACTTAATCCTGCAGGAACCAGATGCCGGGTTGGGGAACGGAGGTTTGGGACGTCTTGCGGCGTGTTTCATCGATTCCTTGTCCACCGGTGATTACCCCGGCTGGGGCTACGGCTTACGCTACCAGTACGGAATCTTTGCGCAGAAGATTATTGACGGGTACCAGGTGGAGACTCCTGACTACTGGTTGACGTATCTGAACCCGTGGGAAATCCCACGCTTGGAGATCCAGATTCCCGTGCATTTTGGAGGGCATGTTTACCAGGACGACGCGGGGAACTCGATCTGGGAAGGGGACGAGAGCGTTCTCGCGACGGCGTATGACTATCCGATTCCGGGGTTCCAGACGACCAACGTGAACAATTTGCGCTTGTGGTCCGCTAAGCCAACCACGGAGTTTGACTTCAACAAGTTCAATTCGGGGGACTACCAAAACTCGGTCGTGGACCAGCAACGCGCGGAGTCCATCACCGCGGTGTTGTACCCAAACGACAACTTTGACAGTGGAAAACAGTTACGCTTAAAGCAGCAATACTTCTGGGTCGCGGCGTCGCTCCACGACATTGTGCGTCGCTTCAAGAAGTCGCGTCGCCCATGGCGCGAGTTCCCGCAGCAGGTTGCGATCCAGTTGAACGACACGCATCCGACGATCGCGGTGGTCGAGCTCCAGCGCATTCTCATCGACGTTGAGCAGCTTCCATGGGTAGAGGCTTGGGGGATTGTCACTGCGACGTTCGGTTACACCAACCACACGGTCATGGCGGAGGCATTGGAGAAATGGCCAGTCGATGTGTTCGGCCGCCTTTTGCCACGCCACTTGCAGATCATCTACGACATTAACTTCTACTTCTTGAAGGAAGTGGAGCAGAAGTTCCCGAGCGACCGGGAAATCACCGGTCGTGTGTCGATCATTGAAGAGTCCTCACCAAAGCAGATCCGCATGGCGTTTTTGGCCATCGTGGGCTCCCACAAGGTTAACGGAGTTGCGGAGTTGCACTCCGAGTTGATTAAAACAACCATTTTCAAAGACTTTGTCAAGGTATATGGTGCGGATAAGTTTACCAATGTGACGAACGGGGTGACCCCTCGCAGATGGCTTCGCCAGGCGAATCCCGGGTTGTCCGCGTTGATTGCGTCCAAGCTCGGGGGGTACAGTTATTTGAAGGACTTGTCGCAGTTAAAGCGCTTGGAGGAGTTTGCGGAGGATAAGGACTTCTTGCACGAGTGGGATGCGATCAAGGTTAAGAACAAGCAGCGCCTCGCGGCGTTGATCAAGAAATTGACCGGGATTGAGGTGCGTGGGGACGTGCTTTTCGACATCCAGGTCAAGCGGATCCACGAGTACAAGCGCCAGCAACTTAATGTGTTTGGGGTGATCCACCGCTATCTCACACTCAAGGGCTTGTCGCCTGAAGCGCGCGCGCAGTACGCGCCGAAAGTGGTTATTTTTGGAGGCAAATCCGCGCCCGGTTACTACATGGCCAAGTCTATCATCAAGTTGGTGACTTCCGTGGGCGATGTTGTGAACAACGATGCGGATATTGGCGATTTGTTGAAGGTGGTGTTCATTCCGGATTATAACGTTTCCAAGGCGGAGATTATTGTCCCAGCATCGGATATTTCTGAACACATTTCGACCGCGGGGACTGAGGCTTCCGGAACGTCCAACATGAAGTTTGTGCTCAATGGTGGGTTGATTATTGGGACCGTGGACGGTGCCAACGTTGAAATCACCCGCGAAATCGGCGAGGACAACATCTTCCTCTTTGGGAACCTCGCAGAGTCAGTGGAGGACTTGCGTAACAACCACCGGTTCGGCAAGAGCGCCATTCCAGAGTCGTTGGCACTGGTGTTTGACGCGATCGAAGGCGGTGTTTTCGGTCATGCAGATGAGTTCCGTAGCTTGGTTGATTCCGTCAAATGGCACGGCGACCACTACTTGGTCAGTGACGATTTCGACTCCTACTTAGAAGCCCACAAGTTGATCGATGAGGCTTACAAGGATCACGATGCGTGGGTCAAGAAGTGTGTGTTGAGTGTGGCTAACATGGGCTTTTTCTCTTCGGATAGATGTATTTCTGAGTACGCCGAGGGCATTTGGAATATTGAGCCAGTCAATGACAAATAGTTTTTTTATTTTTTTATTTTTCCTCTTTTGTAATTTGAATTTAAGCAATGTGTTTGGGTAGTGGGTGTGATATCATGCCCTGAAATTTTTGGTATAAGTGAGTATTATCGGGTAAAGATGGAGTTTAACTTCAATCCATGTCCCGTGGATTTTAACTTCAATCCATATTCCGTGAATTTTAATCTAAACTCGAACGTTGTGGCTGATGATCCCCCCATTCAGCAGTAGTATTTACCTGGCTCGACACTGTAGCTACTATCCCACCTGGGCAATATTCTACATAATTATAACATGCTAGTTAAATCAATATTTTGCAAACCAAATTTTCCTGTCAAATTATTTTACTATTTCGTATTTGGAATAATAGCCCAGGCCTTCCCTCCCTCTGGTACATGGTACCCCTTCCAGCATCCACGGCCGAGATCCGGCACACAGCCTCTACTTTCCTTCTACGACAGAATGACCTCAGCCTCAATTATAGCTCTGCCCAGATCACAGCTTGTTTAACAGATTTCACTCCGGACTAGATTTTGATATATCTCCTTCAACAGATATACCAGCAGTTTTTGTGCAGATACACCCGTAACGGATTCATTGTCACGGGAACTACCGCCAACTGGTTGACATTCATCAGCTTACTTCCGCTCTCTAAGACACCTACAAGCACATAGACATTCACAGATCTACCACCCGTAGATCTTTGCACCTATTTGCTTAAAAGACAGAACTCATCGAAAAGGTCTGTCCCCCTTTGCATCTATAAACTGCTTGCACCCACGATCAGTCATCGTTCACCCCGGTAACATATCTAACCTCCAAATTGCGCTTTTCTCACCATCTACATTCACTCTATGGACTAGATCTCTTGCCATGAACATTCGCCACAGTTACCTATTACCATTCATATGCTTGCTCGCAGCAGTTCTAGCCCAGCCGAGCAGCGCCGCAAATACCTTTCCTCCACGCGACAAATTTGCCACGCGCGACGAGTACCTCGTGCGCGACCTCCCAGGCCTCTCGAAGCTTGATGATGCCGACCGCCCACTCATGTATGCAGGCCAGCTCGAGCTTTACCCCCAGAACCACACCGAGTACTTCTTCTGGAAGTTCCTCGACGAGGCCTCGCCGAAAACCCAGCTCATCTTCTGGCTTAACGGCGGCCCCGGTTGTTCCTCCCTCGACGGGGCGCTCATGGAATCTGGGCCTCTTCGTGTAAACCACCTACGGGAGGTGATTGCAAACAACGGTTCGTGGCACCGCAAGGCGGACATTGTGTATGTCGACCAGCCCGGTGGCACCGGTTTCAGCGTGACTGAAGCGTGGGACCGCGAACTCAGCGAGGTAACCTTTGACTTCATGGTGTTTCTCCAGCGCTATTTCGCAGTGTTTCCTGAAGATATGAATAAAGAGATTTATATCGCGGGAGAGAGTTATGCGGGTCAGTATATCCCATACATTGCGCAGGGTATCTTACGCCGCAACTTACAGAAGAAAGTGAACGATCCAGAATACAAGCTTAAGGGGGTGATGATTGGTAATGGATGGATCGATCCGAATCAACAGAGCCTCTCGTACCTTCCGTTTGCGATGGAGCGGAAGTTGTTAGACGTTCAGAACCACGGGTACCGCAAGCTCTTGGAGCAGCAAGAGATGTGCCAAAACCGAATCTCACACGCGACAGGGGACGAAAAGGAGCTGCTTTCCTTCGACGAATGCGAGGTAATTCTCTCGTATCTCTTCCATATGACTTTGGACCATTCTGCCCCGAAGGATCAGCAGTGCTTGAACATGTATGACATGCGGTTGAAGGACTCGTATCCGTCTTGTGGCATGAATTGGCCGCCGGATTTGACCGACATCTATCCGTTTTTAGCCACTGAGGGTGTTATGGCGCTGTTGAACATCCATCACACGAAAAAGTGGACCGAGTGTGACCCCACTGTAAGTAGGTATTTGAGGGGTAAGAAGTCGCGGCCGTCGGTCCACTTGCTCCCTGGCCTTCTTCTGCAGATAGAGGTGTTACTCTTCTTTGGCGATTCCGATGTTATTTGCAATATTATGGGCGGCGAGAAGATGGTTCTGGATATGAGGTGGGGGGGTGCCGTTAAAAACGGCTTCAGCGAGGCATCTGAATACGTCGAGTGGCTCGACGATGACAAGTCGGCGGGGCGAATCCGTCTGGAGCGCAACCTCACGTTTGTCCAGGTCTATAACGCATCGCACATGGTTCCGTTTGACAAACCGCTCGTTTCACGATCGTTGGTGGACTTGATGTTTGGGAACGTGAAGAACGCCGAGATGGATGGGACAAAGGTGATCAAGACGAGCCCGATCTCTACGGGGGACAAACCCGAGGAGGGCCCTGAACACAGCCCGGGTGCTTCTGACGAGAAGGAAGACACTCAGACTCAGCAGCCTAGCAGTAGCTTTTACCGAGAGTACATGATCGACATCCTTGAGCTCACGGTAATTTTTATCATCGTATGGGCGCTCTTGTACCTGTATAACAAATTCACCACGCGGCCGTCTTCGATCCTCACCAACCAGAACTCACAACCTGGCCTGCACAACTCCCGGGCTGGACCTTACGGGAAACCGGGGAGCTCGCAGAGTGCACAAAGTGGCGCCATACTTGGTTCGTCCCGTGGCCATAAGAAGAAGAAGTCGGTGCAGTGGGTCGATCAGGTGGTTAACTTTGACGATATTGTGCGATCAAAGCAGAAGAACATCTTTAAGAAGGTTTTGACGAAAATGGGTGTGTCCGACACACTCACTAAGGCTCTGTACTTGCCGTTGGAGAACAGCTTGGCGAATGAGCCTGATTGGGACATTGAGTTGGGGTTGATCTCTGAGGAGCCCCTGGACTTTGAAGGCGGAAGTTCCAGTCAGCCTTGAAGTGCAAATATATAAGCATGCACTTTTTAATAAGGGACTTCTGAAATATACATTCATATATATATATATATACGAATTTATAGCTAGGCCAATTTTGTAGAATATCAGAAAATTCGGTTCACATTTAATCCAAGGATGACATGTCTATTGATTGTAAAGAAAAAGCCAATGAAGGACAAAATTTGAAATTATATAATGAGATCATATCACAAAGCTCTTGGTCCTCAGCTGAGAAGATAGATTCTCCCTTCGTAAGGCGATAACGTAGCCTCCTCCACGTCAACGTTCGAGAGCAACAATTCTCCTTCGGGAGCCTTGAAAGGCTGGTCCTTATCGCTGAAATTCAACACCACAAGGGCCTTCTTGTCTTGGTAAGTCTTGATAAAGGTAAAGGTCTCCTCGTTTTCGTGGTCCAAAGTTTCAAACTCACCGTAGATGAACAAATCTTTGTGGTTCTTTCTGAGCTTCAATACCTGCTTGTAGAATGACAAGATCGAGTTTGGATCGTTTACCTGAGACTTTACGTTGATTTCCCGGTAGTTGTCGTTGATCTTCATCCACGGTTTACCTGTGGTGAACCCAGCGTTGGCCGAGTCATCCCACTGAACCGGAGTCCTAGCGTGGTCTCTGGCCACTAATGCTAAGTTATCCATCATCTCTGCCATAGCCTTTTCGTCATCGCCGTGCTTCGCCTTGAACTGCTTGTAGTAGTTGGTGGAATCAATGTCTTGGTAATCCGAAATGTCCCAGTCACGGCTAAAGTTCGTCATACCGATTTCTTGGCCTTGGTAGATGAATAAGGTACCGGTTAAGGCAGCTTCCATCATGGCCAATAGTTTACCAGATTTGTCGTGGTACTTCTTGGACGCGTTACCAAATCGGGTGATACTACGAGGCTGGTCGTGGTTTTCAAGGAACACCGTCGACCAAGCATCGGTACCGGACACAAACTCGCACTGGCCTTTGACCGCGTTCTTAAAGTCCACAAGGGTGAACTTCTCAGACTTGAAATGATCGGTCTCTTGGGTGCCCAACAGAACCACATCGAACAAAAAGATCATGTTCATTTCCTTTTCCTTAGCGCTGACAAATTTCAAGGTGTCTTCACGAGAACCGCGGCAGACCTCACCCACGGTCATAGCATCGTAGTGGCTGGTGACCTTGGCAAACATTTCCTTGTGGAATTCGTGGATGCGCGGACCGTTATGGGTGTACGCATCAGCCGGCTGGAACTCCTGGTCAGGAGCAATGATTGGAACGTCTCTGATAGGATAGGTCTTGGAGTACAACCCGGCGGTGTCAATGCGGAACCCGTCACAGCCCTTATCCAACCAAAACTTCATGGCAGAGTTGTAAATTGCCTCTCTGGTTTCGTCGTTTTCCCAGTTCAAGTCAGGCTGCGACTTGGCAAAGAGGTGTAAGTAGTACTCGTCGGTTAACTCGTCGTACGTCCAAGCGGAGCCAGAGAAGTGGGACTTCCAGTTGGTTGGAGGCTGTCTGTTACCATGCTCGTCGATTCTTGGAGGTCTCCACATGTACCAGTCCCTCTTAGGATTGGTCTTGGAGGATCTCGACTCCTTGAACCAGTCGTGCTCACTGGACGTGTGGTTGATGACCAAATCCAAGATCAACTTCATGCCCCTCTTGTGGCACTGGTCAATGAGGTTGTCCATGTCGTCCATGGTACCGTAGGGTGGGTAGATCCCTTCGTAGTTGGAGATATCGTAGCCCATGTCGTCTTGCGGGGAATCGAACATAGGGGATAGCCAGACCACGTCAATACCCAAGTCCTTAATGTAGTCCAAGGTTGAAATTATACCTGGGATATCACCCACACCGTCGCCGTTGGAATCTTTGTAGGACGCAGGCCAGATTTGGTAAACGGTGGCATTCTTCCACCAAGTAGAGTTTTGAGTAACAGTCATATTGTTTTGTTGCGGTTATACCAGGTGCCGACGATTGGCATTCTGGGGAGGAATATAGCTTCAATTTATACCATTCCGGTTGTATACAGACATGGGATAATGGGGTAGATAATATATGCTCAGGAGGCGTCTCCCAAAAGCGTAACGCTAGTGAGTCTTGCCCCTAATTTGCGAACGGTAAGCGCGACGGCTGTGGGGTCATGATGAGGTAACTGCCGGAATGGGGTATTGTTACCGTGCCCCGAACTTTTCTCCAACATATCTAGTGGCAATACACTCCGTTCTTGGTGACCTAGAGACAAATTCTGGACACGAGTCATGTACCATGCAACATGCATGGGGAATATTATGCTCTGGACTTCCGCATTCGGAAACTTGAATCGCACATCTTCTTTGTCAGGGCCGGAGCTTATTCTGAATGATGTCCCGACACATTTATGCGTGCTCGAGTAGTACAATGTCACTATATTTGAGTTTATTTTATGGAGATGATAATTCTTTGACTATGTTAGACAGCTTTTAATCCGTATTTGCGAGCCTTGCGATGTACATAAATATAGGGTGAATGTTCGAACCATCCTTTGCCATAACGTGGTTCTGGAAGGAAACCGCTCATACCAGCAACTGTATTCGAGACACATCAGTCGATGGAGAAATCACAGATTTATTCCCTCTTTAATCGCATCTAAATGGATAGTTCGCTATTTATAAACATGCCTTTTCTACGACAGTGCATTTTTCTATAAATTTAAATTTAAAAAAGAGTGGAAACGATAGATAAAAATAAGACATGGTTTAAACCAGTTATAAGTTCCCATCACAACAAGATGTACCAATAGATACCAAAGGTGTATGACAAAATTAAAGATTGACCGTATAATCAAGTATAGTTGTACCTCTTACTTGGCATACTGCGGACTGACTTGGAGGCACTTCTAGCGGTTCCTTTCTTGGAGTGTGGGAGTAGAGGGCCTTGTACTATCCCAAACCCTGCCTGGTTATACACGAGGGGCTGTCTCAACCACCATCTACTAACCAGAGTGACAACAATCACGAAGAGCACCATAATTCCCAAAATCCCAAAGAACCACTTCACATTACCCTGGGCCTCACCTGGAACCGTCACGTTCATTCCAAACAACCCAGTAACCACATTCAAAGGGACAAAAATGGTACCCAACACTGTAACCTTGGACAACATTTCGTTGATCCGGTTGTTGGAGTTAAGAGAAAACGCCTGCAACTGGGCTAAATAGTTGGAGTGGGACCTGGAGAAGATTTTTTCATAAGCAAGAAGGTTCTGGTACATGGTAACAATGTGATCTTGGATATCGTCCAAATACAAAGCAATGTCGCCACTTGGTCTGGTGGAGTTCGCGGGAGAGGACAGATGCACGCTGGCGGTATCGGAGTTTCCAAGAGGAGCCGGGTTTGAAGTCAAAAAATCTCCAAGGTGTGTGTCGGAGGGCTTAGCGGTAGCAAGGTGTCTTGTAGGGGAGTTTGAATCGTGTTCCTGACATCTCTTGGCAAACATCTTGATCACATCTGCCTTGTTCATAAGCAACCTCATCAATGCCATGACTCTACGTCTGGCGTCACCAATGCGCATCAACATGGAAGGGAAATCCAGCTCACGAGCGAAAACGGAATCCTCGATCGCATCTGCCTCGTACTCGATTGAAGTGATTGCCGGCGCAAAACTATCAGTGATATCATCGACCAAGGCGTAGCAGATCCAATCGGCCGAAACCTCGACGTAGTTTCTCAAATGGCGAACACGGCGTCTAACATTGGCCGCATGGGAGATTGGAGCAAAGTGGAAGCTCAAAATTCCTTCACGGAAGACCACAACGTAGACCTTGATCAGATCCAAAAAGTCTTCCGATTCTCTATCGTTTTCAAAAGTGTGGAAAGAGACAAAGTAGTAATTCTTGAACAACTCAACCTTCTCTCGAGGCTCCTGCATTCTGATATCCTCGGCTGTTAACGGGTGGATACCAAATGCAGTCGTAAGCATTCTCATCTCCGCGTCTGTTGGACACGCACAGTCTAGCCACCAGGTTGGTGCTCCGCCATTGAAGAGGTCCTTTGCGGTTTGGTCTGGGCCTAATAAGGACGGAATATCAGGAGCATGCACTGTTTCCTGCGATCCGGTAGAGAAAATCGAAAACCGGTTAGGAATATCTTTGCATAAATGATTCTCTTCTGCGAACTGGACGTCGCCGCTTGAATCATCGCCCTCCGAACCAAACGCGTGGGCAGGGTTTCTTTCCGATGAGCTGCGAGAGGCAACGATGCCATCGTGGCGGGATGAAACATTAGACAGTTCGAAAACAGAAGTCGCTGCCATTTCCTTTCTGTCAGTTTTCACTCTAGCATACTCCTTGGTTGTATCGCTAATGAATTCGTCAATTTTGTCAAAATCAATGTCATTCACACGAACGCGCATTGGGACTCTAGGAAAGCAAACATCCTCCTCTATCTCGCGGGAAGATTGCGAGTAGGAGGAAGCATCATTTTCATTGCTAGTGTAATTGGCTAGAGGCCGATAGTTGCCCCATCCATACTTGCGTTCCGCCGGAGAGAAGCACGATGGAGCCAGATCCCGTCTTGCTCTACAAACCGGTCTACTATCTTCGACAAGCTTGGCTTTTTCAAGGTTTTTGGAAACCTTCTCTTCGATTTTTTGGGGAAGTGAGAAAGTGGAGCGGGTTTCACCGTTTGTCACCGAAGGTGTAGCGGCGACAGAACTCTTACTTGGATGAATGAAAGACATGATTTAGGCTTTGGAGGATAAAGGGTCTAGCTTTGAGTCACCGTGGGATGGAAATGATTTATTTTGTCTCGGTGAGTGTCCTGGTACCATTCAGAGTCATTCTCGTCATGGGTAAAGAACTGGGAGATCGGAGAGTTGATGTTTGACATATAGAACCTTTTTGGTGGTTGTAAGTAAAGAGCGAGGTCCAAGCTATTTATGTTGGTTCTAGTTCTTTAGAATGAATTTATACGCTAGTTACGACTTGCGATGGCAAATCCAAGAGACGGAAAATGACTGTAATCCTTACGTGCTTGGCGTTGCGAGAGATTTTTGGATCTTACGCTGCCGCGATTCATTTCTCTCCTTTTACGAAGCCTTTGAAGGTTGTGTAACTCGCAAGGTTATAAATTACGTATGCACTATGCTATGTTTTCGTCCTAGTCGTGGCTCCTTGGCCCAATATGGGTGCGCCAAGAACGGTAAAGCGCGTATCATGCACTATCACAAATACGTTAATGGTCGCCACCCTGATATCTACGCCGTGCGGTATTATTTCCACCTTACAACTGATTTATGTTTGAAGTGGAAGGCGATTATCGGTGAGTCACCGTTATACATGAGAAATCTCTTATGTCTGATTTACGATCCCCAAATGCGATTGATCAGACTATAACCCGCTGTTTGTGATTCTACCGGCATGTCTAGATTGATACTGCACCCGGTAAGAGCATATCTATTTGAGACCATAACTATGAAATTATATAAAAAACAGCTTCTAATGTCAGTAAATTGTCATTCTCTATGGCTCTGGGGCGTAACATTGGTGTATTACTTTAACCAAACCTGATGCTGTATCATGAACGCATCGTGCATTTCCAAGCCTTTCAGAAAACAGCTGAGTTACAGCTGCAGGCTGTTTCCCAGATGTATGAACATCTGGACAAGCCAAATCATTAATTATAGGGCGAGGTTAACGTTATTATATGCACTAAAATTAGCTCAAATACAGAACCGAAGTTAAGCTAAATAAATAGATACAAATTTAACATTCATTAGAGCTGATTAAATCCCCGTTGCACTTTCAACGGTTCACAACTATACATAGTTGTTAAATCGTCCGCTGGGTAAACTGCGGATAGACTTTGCTGCATACCTTCTAGATTTGAAGGAAATTCTCGAAAGAGATTTTGCTTCCAGACCGTCATTGTCGTCAGTTTTACCCGTTCTGTTGAACCAGAAAGTGGTGCCTATATAAGCAAAAATAATGAAAGGAATCATTACTCCAATAATACCGCCAAACCATTTCACATTCCCCTGTTGGTAGCCTGGGATCGTGACGTTCATGCCAAACAACCCAGCAATGATATGTAACGGAACGGAAACGGTACCAAGAACTGTTAACTTCGACAACATTTCACTAATTCTCTTTTCTGAATTAAGCGACATGGCTTGTAACTGGGCCAAGTAGTTGGCATGCGCCCGCGAGAAGATTTTCTCATACGCAGCGAGGTTCTGGTGCATGGTGACAATATGATCTTGGATGTCTCCCA